CGGGGAATTGGGCCCGCATATGCACGAGCGCGCGCCTGGTAAACTCACAATGACTATGTACTGTACTACATATTCGATTTCGTACCATAAGTGGAAGGTTAGACGCACAAATGAACTCTAATTGATACAACACCGTGAACCAATAGGGCTAGGGCCCCTGTAACCAACCGATCACCCTTTTTTTTCGAGACATTCCTCGCCGTAGGTGGGAGTTACTCTCAAGCGCTCATGTGTAATTAGATGTATTATGAGATGAAAAGAACAATTAATTGTGATACCGGGATCATGAAGCAATTTCTCTTATGTAATAAAAACTGGTCTGTCGAGTGATATTTGATGACGCCGACCTACGAAACTCTGTCGAGTGATATTACATGATTTGAGACCCAATGGACAATGATCAATTCGATAGATATAGTGTTGTCGGTACTGGGGGAATACAACTGTGGTCAGGCTAGTCAAAAGCTCTGCATTAATTTTAGAAAAAATACGTATTGTTAGATAAGCTACAGGATATTTGGGCAAGATAAAATCTTCCTCTAGGTTTACATATTAGCAAAGGTTTAGTGCTAGTGGGATATTCAGGAATATCAACTGAAGAAAGAAGTGGATAATCAATGATACGAATCAAAATGTATAACCCTCCTACTTGATGATCAGGTACTCTGAGTGATAGTTTGTGATTTATCATATAAACAACTCAACGGACCACAATTACTTCAGGAAATCAAAGTTTCATAGTTAGTTGATGATTTACTCATCTCTAGTATCTGGCGGTCAACCCTGTATATCGGTGCGTTGAGAAGCCCGGTAGACTAAGTAAAATTGAGCCCGAAGAGGGGGGGGGGGGGGGGGAACCTAATTGATAATGCTGGTGTATTGAAACTCACAGGCTCATGACGGTCACTGGTTTAAAGGTACGACAGCTGTGTGTACTCGAGGTCCTTCCGGGTCGCTTTCTGGTTGACTACATCTAGACGGAGCCACCCCTCAACATACGTGCATGTGAAAGTATCTACCAATGTCCCACGGCCCTCTTCCTTTGCTCGAGAAAGGGTATAGACGGGAAGATCCCGAACTATATATCCTGAGCAGAGGCCAATCTTCCTCCTTCTCCTTCCCCGTCTTCTCTTCCTCTCCCCTATGCTTTCCCTCCTTCTCCTCCCTCTCCATCAAAATCATTGTTGAAGATGCCTTTTTAGTATTTATACATACATCTATTTACTAAAAGCCCATCACTCTCTTTTAATTTTCATCCCCTTTCTTTATTCTTATCGCATGACCCATCACTGGGCTGCGTCAATCCAAACCACTTTGAGAAGGTGCAGCGCCGCTTGGCCACTCGTCCGCTGATGGCTTTCCCATTATGAATTGGCCTCCAGCCTTTCCATCGAAGAGGAGGAGGCGAACTTGTTCCTCACTATGGGAGTGCGGAGTGGGAGGTGATTAAACAAAAGTCGGTATGTATATCGATCCATGACTTTTTCTTCTCTGAGCTTAACAGATCTGTTAATATAAATTAGTAGCATTTAGGTGGGTTACTCTGCTGGGGGTGTGGAGCAAGAGACGAATTGAATCTAGTATTTATATTCATTAACTTCTTTTCTCCCGTTGGGCTCAATGGCTAACGAAAATAATAAGAGATCAATGGAATCATCATCCTGAAGGTATGGGGGAGGACCTGAATAATAGGTATTGATATCCATTGACCACTTTCTTCTCTGGCATCAACAGATCTATCTACTCACGCAAATGATCAGAAATTGAACCGCAAACATTCCCCTTTTAAACTAGTAGTGCGCCGGGGTTGGGGGTGTACCAAAGGTATGAAACCTAGGATCCTCTTAATCTCGGGTGTCAGCTAAGTATTTTTGTCCATCTAGAGAATAAGGAGCGGGGAGCAGAAATGCACCTATTACCTCTGGGTTGGGTGGCAGAGGTAACCGATTACCCCCAGCTTTATCATTTCCGGTTTCAACAGATATACTAATCCATACTATCAGCGACTACTATTTGAGGGGGGTGTCGGTGTTACACTTTGTGTGTAGCGCGGATCGCGGACGTAGAGAAGAAATCTACGGTATTTATCTCCATTATTTTTTTCTTTCTCTCTACGCTCAACTGGCTAATTAAAAGAGCTTATCAAGACAATCAAGGGTCGAGGAACAGGCTTGTGGATCACCTCGATCGGACCGCGGAGGAGTATTGTAAAATCGGGAACCACTCGCCAGGTATTTATCTCCGACAACTACTAACCCTCTAAAATTTACTAATTTAGCCAAAGTTGCAGGTATTACCCAGTGTAGGTGGGGCCGGTTCCAGGTGTCAAGGGGCTACTGGGAAGGTCCAAGGGAAATCTGTGTGCGATTGTCCAGAATGGAAGTTGGAAGGGTGCCAAAGGTAATTATCTCCTGCAGTATAGGCTCCTACTTTCCTCGCGCAACGAGCTTGTAGAATCTAAGAGTCAAATGAGCTAATGAATATATCTAGCTTTAACACCAAAGCTCCATAAGAGCGGCTGTTTTCTGCTTGTTAAACAAGCAAACCGAATCGGCCTCTGGTGGGACAAGGACGATATCTGGTCAGTAATGGGATCCACCTCCGTGAAAAGATGAAAATTGGCTAATGATTTAACAGGGTAAGAGAGATATCGTACCTTCACATCGTGCCTAGGTAATGTGGGCCGGGAAAATATCAATCTCCCGAGGTTAGTAATGTAATGGATTAATGTCGAGGAAGAAAGTTAAGCTAAAAATCCGTTTGACAGGTCTCTGTACCTCACAACAGACATATATGTCCAGGAAAGGACCGAGAGTACATTAGTACGTGTAGGTTAGTAAATAAAAATTGAATCGAGTATATTAATGCGAAGGAAGGGCCGTTCTCAAGCTAATCATCCAATAGGGAATGATTTTCTACCCAGCGTTGAATTTGGGCTGGGGCCAATAGCACTTCCGATGGAGCTATGTGGCGAATATGTTGACATGTTCATTCCCATAGCTGAGGAACACTATTGGCCAGTCGCGCCCATATCCTTTGTGAGAGAGACCTGGTTGTCTATACACCGGTAGGACTTCCAGAGAAGGTGGGCGGGGAATATACCGGGATGCATGATCCCTGAAAATGGTGGGGCGGGCACGCATCATGACAGAGCCCCTCTCTCCCGGAGGGAGGGCTTAGCTGAGTTGTGGGTGCTGTAAGAGAGAACCGATTGTCTATGGCCATAGCCGATAAGGGCGGTCCCTGGACCGACTGTGGTCTTGTGGGCTTCGTTTTGAGTTGTTCCCGGGCGGCGTCCTTTTCAGGGCCGGTCTCCGGGAAGTCTCACTCGACCCAATTACATCTGGTCGACCGAAAATATCACGGGCATCGATATATTTTTAGAAAGAAAAAGATCTCTTCATGTGAGTTCATGTCTTCCAATCCACATTTTGATATAAGTCTAACATTTTAAGCTGCTGGTTGGGGCAAAAATAGCGCAATTATCGTCGGTGATGCTCAATTGGAGGTCTTATTACCATCTCGGCGTACCTTCTATTTTCGTGGCTTGGGGATAAGGTCGAAGACCTATGGATGGGGGTTGGCGGTCTCGGGGGCCAGTGGAAGATTTGGTGGCCTGTGTGGGAGCAATGATCCTTGTATTTTTACATAGCATTGGGGGGTGCTAGTAATGTGGATGATTTTGGGGTGTTTTGAAACTCACTTGGTGACCTTTGATAGGAATAGATGATTTCGAATATTGGTGACTGGTAAATTGGTAAATATATTGTGAAGACCCGGATTTAAGAAACCTAGACAGGTGTAACCTCCTTAACCACTTGAGCTAGTGGACAGCACTCGAGTTCCGATGGGAAGCTATTAATAATCGTAGTTTTAATATCATCTCATAGTAAAATCTGCTGCGTATAAAGAAATCGATAATCGCTTTATTCTCACTCGTCCTAATTCACGCATGATGGATATTTGACATGCCAAAAAATGTGCCACCAAGCCAATGTGCACACAGACATCGCACAACGTATGCCCATGTGCGCCCACCCCATGGTCCACGCACTGTTTAACCACCAGAAACAATACCGTCACCCTTATCCACAATGTTCAAATATCAAAGCATTCAAACTACACCAACTTGTGTTCCAACCAGCCACAGAGTCGCATCACCGCGGCTCCATTTATCTCCCGGGATGTGTTCCGGAATCGGGGGCTCTGCTTGCAGGAAATAATACAGCTGAGTGCGTAGACTCACCGGAAAGAACAGTTATGGGGAACATAGCTATAGTCGATTGCGAAATATATCTAGACGGAGTAGCACCATTGCTAAACTTAATTACTAATCTACACTATTCCGACTCTTTCTCCTAAGGAGGAAGATGGCAACCTACAATCATCAATCAACTTGAGACGGAACCATAGGCACGTGCATATGGCTCTATGATCTTAGTTTAACTACTTCTCCGGTGGGTATGGACCTTCATGATGGAAATTTATCTCTGTGCAATAGGATACGGAAGCTGGTGCGAGAATCGATTCCATTCCACCGGTATAAGCCGTTATCAAGGTCGTACCGCCGAAGGGCTTGATTGAGCCAGAACTGAAGATATTTCATCAAAAACACCAACATCTCCATGGGGCCGGGAATTTTGACATGGAAGGTTCAGCTCCCGGTGTCGGTGCCGGAATACGCTCGTTACTTAGCGATATCAGGTAGCCAGAGTATAAGGTTTATGGGGAACAAAGCGTCCCTGATGGTGGTGTTGACATACGCCAACAAAGAGGGACATCAGGAACAAAGAAATGTCCTCCAATACCCTGTTCTGAAAAACAAAGGGCCCATTATTCGACCTGTAGCTTTATATCAAATCACCAACACTAGTATTATCACTACCAGTCTCGCCATATGGAAAAAAATACTAAGGGAAAAAAATAAACACCAACTATTAACATCCACATACACTTGGAATTCTTCTACACCCTAGATATCCTGCTCACGATAATACATTATGCCCCCAGCACCACCGCCAGCACCAGCACTAGCACCAGCACCAGCACCAGCACCGGCACCGGCACCGGCAGGCTTCCAAGAACTCAGATTCAACTCCGACATCGCGCAAATCAACCTCCGCCGCACCCCCGCCAACGCACTCTTCCACAAAGACCCCGGCTTCTACGCGCGCTCGCAAGCCACCATCGCCCTGATCGAGCGCGCCCTCACCACCCTGAGCGCGTCCCACTCCGCCAATGAGTTCCTCCTCAATGAGTACTACCGCTACACCTACGACATGCAGACGTCACCGCACCACGCGGCCTGGCGCGCCTGGATCGACCCCCCGTGGACCGCCGGAACACGCGCTTTCCTCAACATGCAGAGGGATATGGCGCTGCCGGTGGCGGTGGGGGTGGTGAATGCGGCGAATATCGAGGTGAGGGGGTGGCTGGCGATGGTGTTGGCGTATCCGCCGGGGGATGTGGAGTATTTGCAAGCATGGAGGATGGCGACGTTGGCGGCGGGGTTGAAGGATAGGGAGTTGGTGTTTGAGGCTCAGGTGCTGGCGGAGTTGCAAAAGGAGGAAACGGTACTGTGGAGTAATAACTATGATATTAGGATGGGGGATGAGTGAAAGCTTTGTAGAGGTGGTGGTGGCGGACTTGGAGTGGGGGCTTAGGGGTTTGGATATGCAAGCACATAATATATTGGGTTTTGGAACCCGCTTTTGATGTTTGTGTTCGATTCTTGAAGTAGAGATTTTCTATTTATGCTCCAGGATTCATCCTAAAAACACCTAATATACCAAAAACCTACACCTCCACTCCCCGAGAGGTAGGGCTATTTGATCAAGTTCCTATCTTTCTCCATGTGACCTTTGAGCCAAAACCTTTGAGTAAATATTCACTCTATAAAGTCATATTGTGGGCCCGGCAGAAATCCACCATGACTTCGAATCTCATCTAAACAGTTCCTCCTCCGCCGGCAATACCTGTGCTACGCGTAAGCTAGAGGTGATCTAATTGTCAAATAGAGCGCTGCGTATGGCACATCAGCTATGGTTTATATTTTGCCATGTGCGAAGTATGAGAAGGTACTTTACTGCTCTAGGTTGGTCTGGTTGAACTCCTATCGAACACCAGTAAACATTTGAGTTACAGCGCTCTAACCCCCAGGCCCCTAGTATGGGTAAAGACTGGTTCTGAAGATACATCAGGTTTGCTGCACCGACGAGCAGTAGATTCCAGGCACTGACCTACGGCGGAGTAGGTGTTGTGTAGTGTATTCCGAGTTCCGAATGATAGTGTCGCTATCTGCCATGTGAGAGGAGCAATAGCATTTCGTGAAAGAAGGCCCCCTTCGCATGTGAGCTAGGGCTGGTGTTGTCTTTTCTCTGCGGTTGTCTTGTGTCTGCGGTTGTCTTTGCATGCGCGGTTACTCGCGCGTTAATTAAATGGTCGGATATCGTTGCAACCAAATGCTTACTAAAATTTCCGACCTTTTAATTAACGACTGGGTATGCATGTCAACGTCGATCGTACCTGGGAGATAGAAACTGCAGGCAACCGCACTGGTTACTTGCTTGGGGCTACTGGAAGTGTGGCCCCGAGATTCAGAGAAATAATAGGATATGAAAGTGATTTGTTGGTCTCTGAATTTGTACAAGCGAACGGGGCCGCGCGTTCCTGGGTCGGCATCATGAGATATCACTCGGGCTCGACCGCTTGGCGGCTGTTGGTATGCCCCACATCTCCCATCTCTGAATCAACCACGGCCACACACCGAAGTTTTGACCCATGCCCCCCAACCAGTGCCGTCTGCTTTCTTCTTTTTAGGTTGCGGTGCGAGAGATGGATTGGATGAGTATGTAGGTGGCCGCTAAGGTTCCAAACTTGCTTAACACTAACGTACATGTACAGTGCACTGCACGTCAAACACCCTAGATATCCACCGAACGGATCCACGATCAAGACACATCTGTGAACTACGAGATAGCGATTCAAACATTCCCGCTGGATCACCGAAGTTACACCAGGTCAAAGCCCGCCTACGGGGAAAATACACCACCTACAACATCCAAAGGCTCAAAAATGCCCCGAACCTCGTTTTAAACCACGGTTTCAGTAAGGCAGCCTCAGTGGGTGGCCTACACACGCAACAAATGTCAGGAGTGGCCCCAGGTACCTGCCTGTGCGCTGCCATATCCCTCTGATGGCGGGCTAGGCGGGATATTAATCTATCCTCTCGGACACCACCATTTCACTTCAGACGGTTTATGCTTCCGCTCAACCCTCCTCACCGACGGAAGCAACACCGCGCTCGCGGACACACACCAGCATGCCGCGGTGTAGCATATGCCGCACAGGACTCCTTTGTCCCTGCGTACATTTGGAGCTTCGGAGCTCGTGAGATCCTTCTCCGGCATTTCCTACACACCAAGTCACCGGCTTTGTTCGTGCCCTAGCCCCACCGCCCCTTGGATCAGCTTGTCAGTTGCCGCCACCTCAGTAAAAAAAGCTAGCCAGTGAAGGAACATGGGTGAAGTGCATCTGGAAACCCTAGTTGCTAGAGCCGGAGAGGATATATGGGCAAACAAGTCCCGACCCATCCAAGAGCGCCAACCAGGCGCAGTCTCACTACATAAGAAAAAGTCACAATGATAAAGATACGGACTTGAGCGGTATACTAACCAAGTGGCTATAGGTGCAGGCTGAGGGCGTTAAGAATGAGAGTGTCGTGCTCTCTGTGCTGACAAGCCTCACGTGCTTTGAGCTTGGTGGGGTGGAGTTTGGTTTGTTTGGGGAGGTCATATCTGTAGGGACTCGACTGGGGCATTACGTATGATGGCCGTAATGGAGCCAGTGGCTGGAAAAGAAATCTGGGAGTGGAGCGCTATATGTCCATATGTAGGAGGGAGAGTATTGTTATGGAAGCTGAGAAAAATACAAGGACTGTGTGTTGTAACAAGTAAGTACGGTCCCTTGTCATGGCTACCTGCATTCGTAATGTCACTCACATGTTGTCTCCTCTTGTAGGTTTAATGTTGGAGATGTTCAGGCTCAACCACCAACTGAGTGCAGTCCTAATGTCACGACAGCGAACTCGTTCACCCACAAAGACACATTCATCGCAGAAGTGCTTGAGGTTTGTGGGAAGCGGATAACCTTTGCCTTGCATCTGGTAATCGCTCAGGTTACAGGATTGATGCTCTTCTCTCGAGTCATCTTTCTTCAGCAGGCGTGGGATTTGGGTCTTAGTTCACAGAGTAATATTCTCACAAGATTACTGCCCTAGAAGTGTGGGGCTGTGACTATTTTCTCAACACCCGGAATATGTTTAGGTGAGTAGGTACAAGATCCACTTCGCACGAGGATAATTTACTCACAAGGTAATAAGGCGCAGAGATAGGGCGAATTTTGCTACTTTCGAGGTGGGTCAGAACCATCACTGGCATAAGAAGTCAACAAGCGGCGGGTCTAGGGGGTGATTCGTGGAGTGTGGAAACTACGAGACGGTCTCACTCTCGGGGCTGAGGTCACTGGTGTGATGCTGACAAAAATGCTTCAAGAGGGTGCTATAGCCAGACAAAAGGATAGAAACGGTGAGAACATGCTGTCCCAATAGGAAGGGGATGGTTTGAGAAGATTAAAGAGGTGCATCTCAGGTAAGAGGGTATCACAGGAATCTCATGAGGTGGAATAAACCCCCAATGGCCCAGGGGATAGGGGCCAGGTTCAGAGATATGAATTGACGCTGAGTGGAATTTGGTTCCACGTAGAACGATCAAACTTGGCCTGGGTGGAGGGTGGAGAGGGTTACTGGCTGGAGATCTGTAGGCTCATGTCTCTGTCACTATGTTACTCTATTACTCTGCTGCTCTGCTATTATGTGCCATGTCTACCTGTCATAGTCCCGTCGAGCGTTCATAAGCCTTTAGTTGCCCGCAACAAAATGTGGGCGAAGAGCTATAAAAAGCTTACTTCATCTACACCGCTCTATGGAGCCTCTTCGGCACCAGGTCAGCCATGTAAATAAAGACGTGGAGTTGAATCTGGGAGAAAACTGGTACCAGAAGTAAATAGTTCGTATATAGCTTGCTAATCGACTTTGTACCGCTCTGATCATGTAAGGAGCATTGCATGAGACCTTTCAAAACGAACCTTCACTCCATAACTGTGGTATGAACAGAATGATTTCCGCCGTTGCTGGAAGATGCTGCGTGCCATGGTCCAACAATGTTCAGTAAACCTGCCTCCCTATGTATTTCATCGAAGAAGCAGACACAAAACATGGAAATGCAGAGAAATTTAGGAAATTATTGAAGCCTATCTTTGTAGGGAAGAAGTCAGAGACAGACCCCCATTGCCGCTGATTAGCTAATATCGAGTACAGATTTCCTACGGCCCAGAGGGAGAGATTTATGTGTGAACTGCTCGTTGCTAGCTGGTTGCTAGCTGGTTGCTGTGCCAACAACCTTTGTTGTTTTTCTGGTTGTTCGTTGCTAACTGCAAAATGCCAAGACCTGACGATATTTTTTTAGTATTTAAGCACAGAATCCCCCCGTCCCTTCTTCTCCCCTCATTGTGCTTATACGATCCAAAATCTGCCACAATGAGATCCTCATACATTCAAAAGATTTACTCTACTTTCTCCACCATGGTTGCCCCTTATGTCAACCTTGGTAAAGATAGGCTCAGCGCTCGTATTAGCCCTTGGGTTAATGCGGGCAAAAACATGATTGCCAATACTGTCATGACAGTTCCAGCAGTCACTGATACTTGCACTTCGTGCAATGTCCCTCTCGTCTCCTACTGCTGTGCTGCAGAAGGAACGAAGAGGGAAAACATTAATACTGACCGTGCACAGGAAACTGCTTTCTTTGATTTCGTCAACATCCCACAGCTTAACATTCTTGCTAACTATGCACATGTATTCTGTGCCATCGACATCGACTCTTTCCGGTAAGTCTTCTAATCCGTTGCACTAGACAGAATGTATATGTGAGATAGGACTCACTTTGAACGCAATATTAACATTTCTCTCTAGCCTTGCCATGACCCAAAGGATCGTTACTCCTTGCCCCCACAGAGAGAGGGACCCTGAGGTTACTGTGTGGAAAAGAATGGCACCACCAAAGCACCGGCCCAGTGAACTTTCCAAAGGAGACCAGGACACCAAGGTTAGGATTTCTGGCATGGGTATCGGCCAGTGGTTCCATGCACCGGATAAATGGCCAGGTGGGTACCGTGGAAACGATGATCCCAAACCGTATAAACCTCGCACGACACGATTCGAGGGGCATGGTAGGGACGGTAGGTTTATAAGATGGATCTATGGTAAGGAGACCCAAGTCGCGGTTTTGAAGAGACTGCACGACAGGAAGAGCTTCGACCCGAGGTACAAGTATCTCTCAAAGCAGATCAACTACAACTATGCAATGAGACCAGGAACACCACATATTCCATACCCTGAAGATGAAGGCCAACTCCAACGCGTCCAAAAGCCAAAGTGGTACCGTCAGATGAGACTCCCCTTCATGAACTGGGCGTGCTGGAGCGAAGGCATCAGGATCCGCCCTCAGCGCAACGGAAAGGTCGACAGAGTAACCGGAAACATGGAGTACAACGATGCGTTCCTCATGGAGGGCTCAGACACCGCGTACCCCCGCTCTCTCAACTTCCGCAAGGACCACCCACTTGCGCCCACCGACAAGGAGGTTCTATGGGCGAAACCTGCCGACCCAAGAACACCACTTTGCCACCCAAGTGTGAAGCCAAGAAACTGCCATCATAGGGCCTTTTAAATAGACAAGTGTCCTCGTGTGGCACTTGGTCTTTCATTCATGTTTAACATTTCCAAAACCTTTTGTATAGCTGAGCTTTTGTAAATGTTGCAATTGCATGTAGGGAGGGTGCAGCCAAACTACATGCAATTGCATAACTACTGACGTGAAAATTCTAGGCTTTTTTTTGACTGTTGCAATTGCATGTAGGGAGGGTGCAGCCAAACTATATGCAATTGAACAACAACTAACGTGAACATTCTAGGCATTTTTTTTTTGACTGTTGCTCTTGCATGTAGAGAGGGTGCAGCCAAACCACATGCAAGAGCACAAATACTAACCTGCCACCTCGTTCTCAAACATTTTCTAACCGTTTGTCTTTAGGACCCTGAGCAATGGACAGTACCTTGACGTGGTGCTTGGGCTTTCAAACCAAACCTGTCCTTTCCCAATCATTCCTCCTGTTTTCAGAATCCTTCGCCTCTTTCTAGTCTAGAAAGGTGGTAGATAACAGCGTAAGCCCACCTTCCCCATCATATCAAGCACACATGTATGTCACTTTAGTAGACAAGTCACGATAGATAGAATTTACATAAAAGATCTTTTTCTCTACCCCTCATTCTTCTCTACTTTTTCGTAATTATATCCGTGAGTCCACCATTAAACCTCCGCTCGTCTCCCTTCCAAGAGCAGCGGACCGAGAATGTTGTGCAGGTTCATGCGTATGGGCCTTCTGAACAGTGACCATATTCGTGGAGAGATGTACCTCTCTCTTTCCACCAGTCTATGTCAGAAATCACACAGCGATCGCTAGCTCATCTCATTGAAACAAACATCCACAGTGGCCATCATACGAGAAAGAAGAAGAGAATACCAAGGCAATCGAGTAGTTGATCGCTCACAAGCTCGAACTCCAAGAGGAGGTAACATGGGAGCAACAATTTCTATCCTGTCCTAATCCTTTTCCAGCTACATCTACGCTCTTCTGACGGCATTGACACACAGTCTCCCTGTTTCACGCAGAAATCGAGTTTGGTCTCTTGGACGCTGAGCGCTTCCTAGCTAATAAGGAGTCTCATCACAATCTCATGCACCATACCCTTCCTTCCAAACATCATCTCCCCACCGAATATAGCAGAGAGAGAACCCCAACGACACACCTACCCTCTCCTCGCTCCCAACCTCCCAATCACCCCCTTCCCCATCGCCACCCACGTCCCCCTCCTTGTCAGCGGCTTCACCCCCTCCCCCTCTTCCTCAACAACAAGCTGCAACGGCGCAACACTCATCACCGGCCACTTCGCCCAGTACCTCAGTATCTCCCACATCCACTTCTCGTCCGCCACCGTACGCCCATTCGGGTGCGGCCACGGTCTCGACAGGGCAATGTTCGCCCGAGCGGAATCAAGAGGATGCACCAGTCCCGGCACCACTGGCAGATCAACGAGCGTGAGGAGCACCTCACGGTACGCACGCTCCTTCTCGAGCCGGACGCTGCGCTCAGCTGTGTGTTCAGGCGTGGCGGAAGGCGTGCGCGTAGGCGGTTGGGAGGTCCCGTGTGCGGCGAGAGAGACGGAGCGCATTTCCAGGTCGAAGAGGGAGATGTCGCCGGCGGAGGCCGCGTCATGAAGGCGGGTGCGTTGGGCGTGCTCGAAGGCTTGCGCGGAGGAGTGGGTGAGCATGAGGGAGGTGTTGGAGATGTTTGACCGGATGGACATTGTTCTGCTTAGGCTTCTTTGGTGGGTGTGAGCTGTGCTGTTCGCTTCTTGAGTTACAATTCTGGACAATTTGGATGTGGGGGGTGTTGAAGGTGTCGGGGTGGAAGGTGGAGGGTGATTCTTTTATGTTCTGGGAGGTTGGAGGGTTTCATCTGTGGACTGCGGATCTTGAAACTGGTGAGTTGATTCAAGAAAGATCTTTCTGTGGACGCTCAAGGCTAACTTGTAAGTCGTTGAATGCAGACATAGGAATATCAAAGTCCATCCTTGAGCCATGCCGGCGCTTTCGGCCTCCACGGCAGCGCTGGCAGGAACATAGCCATGTGAACGGATCTCACTATCTGTGCGCTCAGTGGTCTGACATAGTCTTGCTGCATATGTCGTTCTCCTCCAGTTCTATAGCGGAACCAATTTTCGGAAACAGCCTCTAGACCAGACACCTTGACAATTTCAACTGGTTATTTGGGCAGACAGTACCTCTGCGCAACTATCTCACAGAGTCTTTGGAATGAGCACTTCTTTGATGTATTCGGAAAGATCGTTCGGAAGAGGTCTCTATGAGATGCCCTTTGTCGTCCAGTATATGTTCAGGTTCATTGAAATTTCAAGTGCACTTTGGATGAAGGAGAACTAATGACTTTAACAGATTTTCGAGTTGCACTGAACTGTAGCATGCAGCCAGGATAGGAACTGGTGGGGTGGTGGAATGAAGAATGTTAGGAACTAGAAACGGCGCTCCACATGGCGATACGTTGCCAACAAAAAAAATTTCCCTGGCCAAATATACCTGATTGGCGGGTACTGCAGTTGGATTATTTCAGAGTCAATGGCTAGATGTGCCCAGATATTGAGATGTTTGCTTCTACAAGAGGACATTTTTCGCAAAGCTTGGGTAAAATACAGACCCTAACACATTCTTCCTTCTCCATAGGACTAGGCTTCCCAGCGACGGGTTTAGATGGTTTTATGCCTGTGGTTCTCTTCCAGCCTGCGTGCCACCCGGAGCTTCGAGAAACACCAGACAGAGGCCATACCCACGACGGGTAGGTTTTAAACCAGAACCCTGGCTATTCTTGAGTATAAAACCTTCTTTCATTTGCAAGTGGGTGTTTTACGGGTAGGTGATGTGGAACATAATCAATTCAGCAATAGCTCGCGCTGACGTCACGCAAAGGTGATTTAATTCGATAATTCTTTCATTTTAAGGCTCAAACCAAGGTCCAACGCAACCTATCCTCCTAAAGCGACCCAACGGTAATCAACGCAATCTATCTTTAAATATCGCTTCACCGATATCAACCCTCCCTATCGACGTTTTGCAAACCCCTCATGCTCTGGCACTAATCCACTCCCCACAGCTTCCCCCACGCGAACACTCCTTACAAACCTTTTTATGTGCAAAGTACATCTTCCTCCGCCAACCACGGCACCTTTCACATGTAGGAAATCCACAAATCCTTTTGTGCGCCTCAAACTCTCTCGCCTGTTCTTCCCTCTCCCACTCTTGCTGCTTCTTCCCCTGCTTTCGCTGCTCCCGGAACTCCCTATAGGCAGTTCTAAGCATAATCAAAACCTTCTCCATCGTTCTTGGTATATTCGAAGCTCTGAGCATCCTCGCCTCCTTCCTAACCACCGATTTGTTCTTCGGTAAACTCGACATTACACACCAGTCCTCGTACCACGACATAACCTCCAGCCGCCACCACATGTCCATCTGCGAGGTCGCCTCAATATGCGGCCATGGGCGCGACAACGCCATCCTGCACCTCTCAAGATCGAACGGATGCGGGAGGTCAGCATTTTCATGCTCACTGTTTATCATAACGTCAGAAAGGTGTCTGCGCCGGCTGTCTTGGTTCTTGATGCGCGTTACTACGTCTTCCGGTATTGAGCAGTCAGAGGTACTAGGCGGCTTGCCGTAGCGCCGCAGGGAGAGGGCTGACATCAAGGTGTCGAATTCGAGGTAGTAGGTGGGGTCCTCGGGAGGGCCCGCGAATGCGGTGGCGGTCTGTCGGAGCTCTAACAGAAGGTTGTAGGAAAGTTCGTTCCAGGGCTTGTTCCCGAGTTCAGGGTAGATGGGTTCTGCCATGGGGGGTTTTTTTTTGAGGGGTTTCTGGGTGGATTTTGGGATTCGTCTTTCGGTTGTGGAAAGGTGATAGTATGTCTTTCATAGGTAGGTAGCTTCTGAATTGATGATGAGCATAGAAGAGAGTTGAGATATCCGTTATATACGGAAGGCAATATTCAAGAGGCGATATAATGTCATCATGATTCCGACGGATGCACGTTGTGCGGTTGGTTATTGACCTGTGTATGGCGAATTCATGATCCTAGATGTGTTCTTGAAACCTTGGTTGTTGCCCGAGAAAAGGACAATGTTTATCGTCCAGAAGGGCCCCGGGTGGTGTTGTATCTCGCCTATGCCAAGCCGCGGTTCTTCATCCTTGTATTGGTGTTGTGGGCATGGAATATCACTCAGCCATGACTCATCACTCGACTACTACCCGGGTGTCGGATGGCTTTTTGGCTGCTTGATTAGTCATTTTTGTACGGCAGAGATAGGTTGGAAGGTATTATAACACACGTATGAACTATAACAGCCGCGCTGCCGGTACAATGGCCAGTTATAGACATGAAATCCTTCTGGAAAACTTACCACTATCCTTTGCGCCAGGCAACGGAACATTAAGTAAAAAAATTGAGGGCAAAGAGCTGCTATATACATAGATGCAAGGTGCTGGATGGATGAAAGGGTGGGTGCGAATGACGAGTAGATGGGAAATAGTATTGCCTGTTAGGATCAAACCTGTTTAGGCTGGCGGGTTCGGGGCGGCTGTGTAATCGGTACTTCATTTACTCCTGGTTGTGAATGTGTATGATGTTAGATTCATTGGGTGGTGAGGGGTAGGGTAGAGTATTGCTTTGTATTTCAGTAATTTGTCTGTTGTGGCTGATGGAGAGTGAATTTTAGAATTGGGGGGTGGAAAGAATTCAATATACATCGAAGAGGCGACCACATTGGCGCCCGAATTAAGACCTTTGACTGCCAGTGCCATACCCCGCGGGACTAGAGAGAATAGTTAACATCTTCGAGAAACCTAAGGACATATTATATTCCAAATGAAACAATGCTTGGTTAACGTCAGGGTCCTTAGTCTTAGTTTACACAAGGGCGGTATTAGAGGACAATAATATGTAGCAATGAGCCAATAGAATCAAAGACGCATTTTATTTCTATGATGGTTCTACAAACGGTGGCGCTGTTATAAATTTCGGAGACATTCACGCGCTCACCGATCATTCAACAAATCTCACACCCAATGCCGCCCACCCAAAAACACAAAGCCGCAAAACAGACCAAATGGGCAAAGAACCGGTCAAGAAAAGCAATGAGCTTGCTTCAAATGATTGATAAGCTTGAACAATACTTGACTTATAAGCCTTGTGAGTTGGGTATGCCTGATGACGCGACATGGCCGTCGGTATGTACCACGTGGAACTCCAACTGTAAGATACAATTTCTGCCTACGATGGACCAAGATTTCTACCCGGTAATGAAGGTCCGACGGCACCGGGTTGTTCGTAAAATCCCGTGCTTCACAGGCCGACACATTTACGGTATTCTGCGTAACGAGAGTAAGCTTTATGCCACTCTGCACCGCTTATGTCCTGCAAAATCTGCCGCCATCGAGTCAAACAGAAATACGGCTCAGAAACTCATCGCTGACTGTTTATTTTTCCTTGCGGAAGGATGTTTGTACTCTGCTTACGAGAATGCTTGTTGTGAATCACTAGGCTTTATCTGGCAAGGCCAGTACAACGGGAGCCAACATCGTAATCAGTGTAACAAGCCGATGTGGGAGACAGAAGAGCAGAGCCAGGAATCATAGTGTAGTGAGCACGGTTCATATACGGGTGATAGGTATCCCTCTAATATCACCACCGTAGTGGCGGGAGTGTGGAGAATGTACTTCACACGTAATCATTCAGCATATAAATCATCCAGCCCCTTGGCTTGACGATAAAGAAATCAAATCATCACGGTTAGTAGATTACCGTTTGGTATCCAGGAGTTGGGAAGAGTTTGGGATTGATATTTAAATATATATTGGTATTTAAATTTTATTAGAGTGACAAATGAATAGATATGGCGCGCCCGCTCTTAAATGTAACCGAAAATGAGGCAAAGTCGATTGGCTAAAAGCCTTTCAACAAAAAAAGTTAAAAAAAATCGGGTCATATAGATTTAGTACTAGTGATAAACTTTAACTTGTATGACCAGATTCTTGATATCTATTCTAGTTGTGAAGCCTTAGGAGTTTGAAATTCTGCATTTTTGTGATGTAAAATGCGCTAAGCAAGCGCCGAGTGAAACAGTATTATACCCATTTATACCCCTCAAAAGTGAATTGCGGCAGGAATGCAGCAAAGTGGCCCTCTCATTGGCCTTGGGGTTCACCTTGCAGCCACGATTGTTCCACTGCCAGATACCGCCGTCACCTTTAGTCACCTTCAAGAGTGTGCGCACCATATGTATCGGAATACAGCAAGCTTAAAATAATTCCCTTTTCAAATTATCCCTGCATACTACGGAAACAAGGAATGAACAACTTGGTAATATGCATAGATACCTGTTGAATTGTATCTGGAAGGAACGCTTTGGAATTACATTGAACAACAAATCCAATAGAATAGGACGTTGTTAACACGATATCTATATAAGTGGCGTAGTCTAATCGTTTACATTTACTTTACCTGATATTACTTGCGGTTTTCCATTCACTCGAGCATCAAATTTTTTTTTTAACTATACTACTATCCCCCTATATATTTTACACTGAAATTCTATAACGCAACCGTCCCGATTATAATTATCACCTATCAAAAAATCACCCTAGCTCAGTTCCTGTTCTTGGGAGAAATAAAAGATGATACGTATACAGCCACTGTTATATATCGATAAGGAAGCATTCTACGCATACGGGAGTGACATTCCTCTCAAGGTTTATGGCACCAATCGTTTATTGCATTCGCTAAATCTTTTAAAGATCCTGGAGGATTTGGAACTGTATTTGACATTTACAGATCGCGATTTGGGCTTAATAGGATGTGATTACCACCGTCCTTTCGATTCATATCACCACTCCCACAAGGCACCCGTACAATCCCGCAGCAATCAAGACTTTTCAAAGATTCTCCTTCCCGGTCGACATGACATAATCGCTGGGAAACAATGTTTCTCAATCGATTATGCAGATAGGATTGTAGAAACCGAGGTATCCGTGTTAACAAATTCTCATCATCCATTTGATACTATTTCATATCGGAGAAATAAAAAGAGGAAGACTTGTATTTCAATCATGAAGAAGGTCAAAGAGGTCTTCTACCAACGTTTTAATGATATATACGAGATGGGATTTTTTTTGAACTACAAATATGAACGCTGGCCAGTAAGTACCATAATCGGACCAGATAACCGGCCTTGTTGGGATTCAGAGGACGAAAAGCTTGAGTTGTTGTTCTCAAGCGATGGAACAATTGGAAGTGGGATATTGACAGCAAACATATCAACCGTAGTTTTGAAGGTTTGGAGAATGTATTTTACGCTCCTCGAGCATATGAATCATCCTTCATGTCAACTTACAGATGCTAGCACAAATTTTGAGAAGGAAGAGAAAGGGTTACCGTTGCGATCTCATTATATCCCGGTAGCGAAAGACTGGGCGCGACTTGGCATAAATATTTAATTGTAGTCAAGTACATGTAACAAGCCTTTGATTTGTATCTTCATTAACAAGCTTTCCCGCTTCGTTCAAAATATTTACTCTTATTCTGCTGAGAACCCTGACACTCTCCAAGTGAGGTGCCTCACAAGATGCAATTAGCGCAGCACGCTTTTTTTCTTTATTTACCCTTCGCCGTATGAGACTATTCAAACGTTTTGTGAGGGGCCACCCGAAAGAAAAATACGCGCGAGTCAGTCCATGAACCTCACCTTTTATACACCCCACGCATAGAAAACCTTGCCGGAACCATAACTGGAGTACAGTCTTTTACCGTCTCTTGCCGAATACTGCCACTTGACGAACAGGGATTCCAAGTATGGAAAGAAACAGTCAAGCAACAGCCAAGCTACGAGATCTCCGGTCCTTTTAATTTCTATCGGCCCAAAGTCCCCTGTTCGTCAACTGGCAGTATTCGTCAAGAGACGGTAAAAGTCTGTAGTTCACAAGGTGATTCGCGGCATTCCGCTTAGTGCACTCAAGGGCGACTGGCGACGAGGCCGGGGAAGCCACTCGCATTAAGTCCATGACGTCATTCGCTGCCAAGCATGAGGTATTCGGAGCAAGTATGAAATGCGTAGCATACAGAGAACTTACGAATGAATATGGAGACACATACAAGTACCCATGGCGATACGCCCGTCCATGTTTGTTCGCCCTATATCGTTTCTGAGCCACGAATCCTAAAGTCTGAGGCCTAGAAATGTTCGTGTAAGAAACATGGGAAAGGTTCCAATGGTATTCGCGGATTGGTTGTGGTATGAGGGAAAATCGCACCGACCACTAAATTGACAAGATCAAACAGTATCAACTGTACTAACTATTTTCTTGGGATTTTGAACCTGCCCGACCGCCCAAACTTATCTCGAACCAGACTTCGGGTCACGTGCATGAATAATGTTGGAGTTGCGAATGTACCCAGCGCCAAGCCGATGGGTTTGGTGCGAGACAACTACTAAACTGTGGTCATATGTCTTGGCATATAGATCATGATAATATTGTGTTCATGGTTTTCTCGAACAGGGTCTCGAGCTTGGAAATCAGGTATTCGATCTCATGAACAGGACTTATATAACCATTCAAACCAGGCATCTAAGAAGGTACTGCACCAACTGTTAACTTAAACGGTTCTGTTGAACCAGATACGTATCCCGGGCGCGGTTTAAAGGATTCCTTAGAAGCGTATCGACTTCTCCTCGGCGGACCGCAGTACCACAACGACAATGACACCATCAAATATCGGGCTACCAGCTAGTCGGGTGAGCGGAAGTAATCGTGATCCCCCTTTCTTAGCTAATTAGCCCTTATCGCCGTAGGGCTCCGACACGTCTGGAAATTCGAACTCTACACGCCCCTCCCCTTCGTTAGGAGTAGAACGTGCGCTATTAATCTCTAGCGGCTAGTTGCGGTGGATAGGGGTGCGTCTCGCCAGTTGCCTTGGCACTCCCTACCAGCAATATTGCGGCTCATGCGCGGTAGGTGGTTGGCTAATGCCGATCGACCGCAGGTACATGATGGGGATTGAATTGGGTCGGTGATCGCTTTTGATCTTAGTTGTGGTACGCCGGGTGCTCGGGCCAGTTGCTCTTCAGTGGGGGCCGGCTAGCCGTTTAATCCAGGTTGTGCTACTAGTGCCTGAGCATACACAAATTAGCTTGGCGAGGGAACACGCGCAGCCTTGTGCTCTACTCACCCCCTAGAGTGCAGGACGTTCAGAGAATTCCTGGACTCGCCGACTTCAAATTCAAGATTAATCCGTTCTGTCACACGATTGTATGTGTTTACGAACACAGCAACCTCGATGTCTCTTACTACTGTTTCTACCTGCGCAGCGAACGGCAGCTCTCGTTAAATATCCCAGCTTACGAGGAGGATCCCTCTTTAGCCATCCTCCTCAAGACTTGGTGTATATCTATATCCTATAATATTCATTAACTGTTGTCGAGATAGGCTTCTGTGGTTTTTCTTCCTTACCTATTTCATTGTTTTGCGGTCCCTCTCCCCACTCAACTACCAAATATTCTTTCTTAGAAACATTCTGTGTTTTAGTACCGAGTTGATGTGACGCTAAACTCCCCGCTCTAGGTAGGGTATTCGACGTGAATAGGTGTAGGTTTTGTTTGAAAGATGGATGCGGATACCAAGGCTAATTCCGAACTTTAATGTATGGAGATGAACGATCCTCGGTAGTGCACTGTGCATTCCCAAGTTGGTGGAATGTGAACACCTCTAGGTTAATAAAGAATAGAGCTCGTATTTTCAGGGGTTGGAATTTGATTCATAGTGCAGATTTGACATCGCTGTGCTGCTTGAGCAGTGTTTTGAAGTCACGTTCGGTGGAAGGGCGATGTGCTCGTTCTTGGCTACGCTCAGGTTGGGTTCATGTACTGATTAAGCAAGATAAGGTTTGTAGTATTTAATATAGGGTGTAAAAACACGTGGTGTGCTCTGCCAAATCTGCACGCCACATTGCCTGAACCTTTAAGGATTCCAAGTTAACCGTAATCGGACACAAACTCAAGAACTCCTTTTCCCCCAAACCCCTGCTAAACCGGTCTTTCACCGCTTTGATGACACATATCTCAACCCCGAAAGTCCCAATTCCTACGTATATGTACTGCCCCTGAGTACGGTTACTATATGACCAATGAGTTACACATCTTTCTTGATCAATGATATCACCGCATTGGTGGCCCGGACAGACGCCTGCCTTCCATCTTCATAAGCCAAGATACTCACGAGAATTCCTTTTCTCACTCAGTCTCACAGGTAGTAGCAATGACAAGGGGGTAGTAGCAACGACAATGCTGACCCATGATCGATCCTTAACGAGTCACAGCGTCCTGCCTCACTATTTCGCACCAATTACAGTAGCCAATCCATGGTACATAAATCTGTAAACTCACAATAAACACTCGATCACGATCATGCTAACAACCGGGATACCTTCCTAAAAGTAGACTTATTTATTCATCCACAAACTTTAATCACACGGTCTCACTCGAATCAAGCCGTCCAACACGGGTTATGACCACATCCGATTCGCACAAATGTGCGCTTGAGCACAACACGCTCTTCAAGCACATATTCTCAAGTGCCTGCGCATGCGCCTTTGCAGCAACCATCCCTCCATGACCCACAACACTACACAATATATTCTGTCCATCTCACCCTCGACTCTCCTAAGATGAAGCCCCTCCCAACCCGCTCCGGCCCCAAGGAAATGAATAACAACCCGACTGACGCCAACCGCTCCCTGGCCATGGCTCTCGAGGAGGCTATCACCTTGACGACCCAGATATCCGCACGCGAACCGGTCTCCCTTTCCCGCATCACCAAGCTCACCTTCCGCAACGCCGCACCCTCTGAACCAGGACCCCCGGAGGCTCCGCCGTCCCCACAATTACCCATCAACAGGAAGCCATTCCATACCATGCCGCACAACGTCTACACGCAGCTCGACCAGCTTATCATCCAGGTCTGCTTCACACGCAACGGCATCATGGACGCAAGCGCGGCGGCCACCATGAAGCTCACAAAGTTCTATCTTGCCGCCAAGACGGCGGCTCAGGATAATAGAGATATAGTGTGGGCGAAGGAACTGCAGTCGGAGGTTGCGGTGATGAACGGAATGGTGAATGAGGATAGCATGGCACTGGATAGACTAGAGAGGATGAGGGAGAGGCTGCTACAGAGGTGGAAGGCGGTGACGGAGAAGGAATGTGCGGCGGAGCCGGACGTGTGGGCGCAAGATTTGAATGAGGGTGCGCTGAGGGAACCATTTGGGATGGAGTAAAGCGCTGGGAGCGTGCTCAAGTAGTTATGTGCACTATCATCTGAAGGTCTTGGCGGGAGGGGAGGTTTAATGAAGGTTCCATCATGCAAAGCTTTTTTCTTTTTTCTTTTTCTATCTTTTCTTTTTTTGGGAGGCCTTTGTTTTCTTTTTGGCTTCTCGTTTTGGACAGCCTACACCCCTGCCATACGCCGTTGCTTCTTGTATTATTGGTTGGGGCGGAAAATAGGAGAATAAGGCGACGAAGGGGTGGTAATGATAATTAATAGAGTGTCCATATCAGCGCCCGGAGCAGACTGAGCCGCGCGTGAATATAGAAAGAGGCAAACCAGACAAACGCATGATACTTGCCTCCACAAAGGGTAGAGAATGGGTCTTGAGATGTTTTTGTATTCTGGAAAGGTAGCTAGCTATTTGTATTTGATCAACACCTAGGAGAAACACAGTCTCATAAGGACTTGGATCGTGGGTAAAAGTGAGCGACTTTGATCCATAGTAAGGCCTCCGCAGGAAGGAAGCTGAGGATGTTTAATGAGATGCTGTTCTTATATTGCTATCTCCGAATATTATCGAGGAATGTTCGATGAGGGAAGACGCTTTGTATTACCTGGTTCTGAAGCGAGGAGGGAGTTGATGAGAGGCTAAGTGATTAAACGGCCGTACGGGGGGTACCAGTGTACCTCTTTTATAATCTACACCTATAGCTAACACTCTCTTTCCGGAACATATTCATTGACGTGACTGTAACGCGTATAATTATAAAGAGCCCCAGTAGGCGGGCATAAATGGCAGCTGCAGGTGAATACAATCGCGGTTCCCATGTGCATTCTCGAAAGGTAGATCAGAGTCCTTTTACAAAAGCGAGCTAGAGAATGCGTTGCTAGGAATATATAGAAGTGGTGTTTGCAGCGTAGATAAACCTTGTATTGTTCAAGCCCACCGGTATCGATAGGGCTCAAATTGTCTATGGAGTAGTGGAGTAGGTAGGCTGGAGTAGTTAAGTATATAGCTAGAGAGCTAGTTAGAGCTTGTATTTTGTGGGCGGTTTGTAGCACGGAAGGTATTCTTATAAATTCACATACGTATATATTATGGAGAGAGAGCAGCATAATACTTGATGAGTTACTACATATAATAAGAGGGTTCAATTCTCAGTATGAGCATCCTAGACTAACGCTATAGTAAAAAACAACCATCTTACTCAGTACGCACGTCCATGATCTAAGGTTTCTTAATAGTAAAATCCAAATTCCTCCCAGTATACGTATTCACTTCTCAATCGATAAGGGCGCGGAAAGGGACACTTTTGAAATTCAAAATCACTAAGTGTCGACACCGGATGGTTCATATGATTAAGGAGAGCGAAATAGGATTTCTACATCTTCAATAGAGTTGTAGTCATGCTGTACGGTACTTTGGTCTTTGCAGGTGAGAAATCGTTCGAGCGGAATAGCTCAGGTTGTTCCTTTAAGCCTTCCTAGGGAGGTCGATTGAGCTCGCAATAGTCTACAAAAATGATCTCTGATTAGCTGCAGATCCCAGCCTCCGAGTATGTCGACTGAAATGCCTCGCGCTCAAGTTGAATGCAGTTTCGAATAAGTTCGACAACAATCTTCCTGGTATCCTATGCAGCCAGCGAGGTTGTTGGATATGCTTCGAAGTAGTGTTTCAAAATCCGCAATTCATATTGAATCAAGATACTAGTCCTGAAGGTGGTTAAGATCGCTGTTTCGGGCTTGTTCCAACAGATGGGGATTAATAATCTTCTCAAACATTCCCCATTTGGAAAAGATATTTTGTCATCAGATATATCTGAATCTCGAAGCTTGATAGGGTTTCCAGCACCATCGGTGATTTTTAAATCCAAATCTTCATCGGTATAGTCGAGATAGGTTTCAAGGCTTTCAACCAACTCGAGTAGACGCTTAAGTCGTAATGGCCGGTTTTCCGCCAAGCGAGGCAGTCCTGTTCTGTATAAAACCGAACCATTGCCATACTCAACCCGGTTTCGGATTTTTTAATATGTTTATCAATCGATTGATATACTAAGAATATATTTCACTTGGAAATAAGTTTCGACGAGTTTGTCAGGAATGAGTTGAGAGACAATAATATTCCGACTGCAGAATAGAATCGAGGCTATTATTACTTACCTCTGAAATTAAAGAGAAGAGAAAACAGAAAGCAGTCAAAGATATCTTTTTCCACAAGTTGTATTTGAGGTTTAGAACGTACATGCAATACCGTACCTACATAGCCAGCCTTGGGTATGTATACTTTAATCCTGTTATCTCACGATGACTGTTTCAAATTTGATGGTTTGTTCGTTGAAAATACTTATATGGTGGGGAGAGCATATAATACTATTGGACTTAAATTTTAACTGTATTCATCGACAAATAGTTTTGGTTTTCAATTACACGGTAACCTATATATATATAGGATGTAAATAAGTTGATCAGAGGTGGGCAACGTTTTTCCATTAAGATCACCAAAAAATGAGGTCTTGCGGCACCCGGGATCCCCGGGCTTCTGGTCACATGTACCCAAAGGATCTCAGAGGTTTTCTTAACTGTGGTAAGGCGCTCGGGGGTCAACGAAATCAACTCGTTTCTTGGCACAAAGACTCCGATTTGCGATGTATCTTGAGCATAGTTAATGAGTTTTGTCATTATTTTTGGTAGGAGATTGAAATCGTTGACCATTGATTATGGCGGGGTTTCGGAGCCTATCTGACCACGACTTGGCCCTCATTACTGGGCCAATTGGTGGTGAGTTGGTGCTGATTTACGACGATTTGGCCCAAGAATCTGTCAATTTGGTGTGGTAATCTAGTGATTTAGTAAAACGCCTGAGAAGTCGGGGTAGATTTGGGCATGGTATAAACGCGGCATTGCTTTGCTGTAATTAATTACCTGCGATGCGGTGCCAACTTAAAATCGATTTATGCATAGTGTTGGGCACGAGCATGTTCGAGACGAGCTTGAGTTAGAGCTCGAGTTGGCTCGGATTGTGCAAACGAATGCTTGGGATGTTCGAGCTTGTGAGTATGGCTCGAGCTTAGGCTCGAGCTCCAATTAAAGAGCTAAAAATGGTCATCTCGATATAAGTTTCACTTTTAAAGACGGACTCAAGGGGTTTATCTTCGTTATATTTTCCAATTTTGCCATTACTGATAGTCCAAAAAGCTCGAGCCTAAGCTCGAATCTTTCTAATACTAGTTCGAGCTGGCTTGCGCTCGTAAGAAGGAGAGCTTGAGGTGTCCGAGCCCAAAGCTCGAGTCCAAAGCTCGAGCCAGCTCGGCTCGTGCCCAACACTATTTGTGCATCGATTTGACGCTGATCCGGGAATCTATTTAGTACTGATTCGATGTTCATTTAGTGGCGATCTCTTGCTGATGAGGACCTTGCATCAGTGTCACGTCAGTACATGTGTCAAAACACAGAACTAGCTAAATACATACCCAGGTATTGAGGTAAGTGGGAGATAGTTAGATAGACAGCAGGGTACGTGTAGGTGGTAAATAGAATCATTTCTTTTTTGAAACATGACATGAATATAAAGGACGTGCATATATGTACATATAGTCACGCGCATGTGCGTTGAACTGAGATCAATCATCAAATCCGTCGCTCCAATTCACGAGCCCGTCCCTGACAGCCGGCATGCGCGCATCGCAGGCACGCACCCCGGGCAGTGGTCCTGTCTGTCGACGCCCGTGGATGGCATATTTAGCTGCATGTAGGCGTGATATATCTATTCCGTTAACCAACTAGCTGACGTTTCGCGAATTCTGCTTAATTTCGTTTTATGAACAAAAAGGGTCGATCCCGAGAGCTACGAGCAATTAAGCCGGCGGGAAACACCCACGATCACTCAGTCTACTCGAATTCAACCTTTATCTTGGAAGGTTCAATCAGGTCACCATGCACCCGATGCGATACGCCAATTGCACTTAGTTACAGCCTAGTTCATCAGAGAGAACCAAATCCAGTTATCTATCACCACCAAACCCGTCATAGATCCAAGAGAGACTTGTTGCATTAGAGACATCTTCACCCTTCTTCACCATATTGCACTTCAAAGACCAAGGTATCCAGCGCAGCGCCATCCAGCAAGCGATTCAAAGGCCATCAAGTTCCTCATCATGACCGCCCGCGGCCACTAACGAAAAAAGGACAAAAATAGAAATACACACTACTCAACACTCACAACTCACGACTAAAGCTCCAATACCATCGTCACCACCACCTCACAACCGGAGATGTCATCGCCGCACCGGTACCGGCGCGCAGAGCGTAGAAGGTGACGAGAACATCAAAATCGACCGCGCCACAATGGGTATATATTCTATTCTCCCCCTCCCCTCACTCCTGGGCCCGTATCCAAGTCTTACGGATAGTCCCCCCCCCTCTCTTCTTCTAGTTACACTCTTTTCACCTCACCTCTCCCGCGGTGTTCGAATACACAATCATTTCCTCCTGGTCAGCATACTCATTTGCGCCTGCTCAGCACGATCATTCCCTCCCCCACCACAAATACACCGGATACTACCCTAAAGCGCCATATACAACCCTTCCTCTCTCCTCCGAAACCCGAATAATGTGCGAAGTAACACGTATCCACTACGTGGACTGCCGTAACCCCCCCCCCCCTTCTCTCCCGCATCACAAACCCGAAAACTAACAACCCCACCACAGCCCACACCTCCAAGAAATGGCACAAACTCTGCACCCCTTACCTCATCGGCCCGCAGGATCGCTCTTGCCCAAACCGCAGGTACATCGATACCAAGACACGCTCTGGCAGCTGTAAGCACACCCCTGCCCAGCTTCACAACCTTATATTGCGTGTGTAGGAAAGTAGGAAGGTTGGCTGATGTTTAAATTTGTTGGGCGATACGCATAGGCAAGGTTTGTAAACCGAGGCCAGTGAAGACGATGTGGGTTGAGCCGGGCACGTTTGTGGCGGATGACAGGTACCCGGTTATTCGGTCGATGAGGGAGCTGAGGACTGCGATCAGGAGGAAGCCGGCTTCGGGTGCGGAAGGGGCGGGAGGGGCGGGAGGGGCGGCGAAGTGATGGTGGGATTAATGTTAGAGGTCGTTGTGTTAGATCAACTGCTCGGTGTGTTCACTCTTTTGCAAGCTGCGCGCACCGAAACTACCTTCGTGAACGACTGTCTTTCGGTATATTGTTGACCACAATAGAAGTGAGCGCTGCTTCTCCCATAATTAAAACAGACTGAATCCACTCGTTTCAGCTTAATTCTGGTTGAACCACACGATATCTAACCTTCAAAGGATAAAAAAAAACGAGAGGTTCATACTCAACGGCAAACGGCAAGTAGGCTGGTCTGGTCCCTCGCCCTAATTGGGCGTACCAAACTTGGTCGTGCGCATCCTTACACAAAGGTCCTTCCAGTAGGTGATTGATGCCCTCGAATTCGGGCCAGCTTGTTAGGGGGCACTTTTAAACCCTTACCTTCAGATACCTACTTAGGAAATATGAATTATCTGTCTGGTAAAAGCTTAAAGAATAGCCGAAATTCCTCCGACCTTCCAACACCCCACCCCACATACTCCACCCCAAATCCCTCTGCCTCTTGGGGTAAATATCAGCATACTTCTCCCCGTGTTTTCCTTCTTCTCCCAATCCTCTGAAAACTCTTCTTTCTCTTTGCTCTGCAATTAATGTCTGGCAAAGACCACGCCTGTGTCTATTGTAAACTCAGTACAGTATAATTATAAGTATATATGAAGCTCAAGATGTATTTCATTCGTTCTATCATACAGTATTTTATGGTTCTAATCGACAGGCACGTATGGCTCTGGTATTGCTTTCTTAATAACCTACGTTGTCTCATTTGAGAGCGTACTGCTCTCTCCATTTGCGCAGCAGTGCCCACCATTGGCTGCTACCTTTCTCTTATGCTGGTGCTGGTGATTATCTGTTACATTACATTACCGGAACACTCATTCCTTGGATGATAAACATCCCTCCCACCCACTCTACACAAAATGCCATTCGCACTCATGGAAAAGGGAGAGAGGAAAGGAACGCAGCAAGCTATGACCAGATGACAGAAACTATAATAAGACCATGTTTTCTATCTTTCGTACCTCAATGTCAGGAGTTCCACCTAGTCCCACATGGAGCCCTCAAGTACATCTTGGACGGTTCTGCCTGTTTTCTGTAGTCCTCTAGAGTCTAGTCCGGAACTATCAGAAACGACGATCTATCAAAACTAATATACACTGAAGTAGAGACAGAACATGTACTGATAGTAGTCTATGAGGTACAGAAACATTAATATAAGTGATCTTTTCCCTTACGTCTCCGGCCAAATCGTGCTTATTTGACTAATGCTCAGCCTCATTCAACGCCATGTTGTGTGGCGTTCTGTTCTCTCAGGTCACACTAAAGACTCAAACTGTGGACGAAGAGAGGATGGAGGTCTAGTATAGTTATATAGTCTAGATGTAATACGAAAATCCGTAAAGGATAAAACAGAGTATTACGTGAAGAAAATTAAACGACAAAAAGTGATTTTAAAGCATAATCAGTGCCAAGACTGATTATGTCACTGGACACTGTTGGCCGGTTTGCTGTGATCAGTCTCTTTTCGACGACGATACGAATTTAAAGACAAATCAAAACTTTTCGACTAAAACCTGCAGGAGCAGGTATATTGATGATGATGTAGACTAAGAGAGAGAGCGAGAACAAGATCAAGGAAACTAGCTAGAGGTTGCCACCTAAACCAAATAGCGCCAGCGCTAGAACTACGTTTCCTCCTCAGGGCGCCTATCCAGGCTAACCCGCGCGTATTTGTATTACAAATGTCTGACAAATAATCTGCCCAACAACACGCATACTTTGGATGACACTAGATCTGACTTAAGTCAGGATAACAGGTTGAGTTGAACCATTAGCCTAACCCAGACTGTCATCTAGCAGTAACCACAAGATCCTGCATCCCCAGGAAGGGACTTCACAACTTTGTCCCAAAAGCTAGAGTGAGTAGCCCTCAGGTATGGGCTAGAGTATTGTTGAGCTTTGGAATATAACTATCGTCAGAGGTCAGAAGATATGAAATTGTTTTAGACAGAGAGCAATCGGCTACTCCACCAATTACCCACCGTCATGTGGACACCTACCTGAGTGTAAATATTTATTACAATTATAGAGGCCTTGATTTCCGTGTTCCGGGAGAAGCGAGACTTATGCAGGGCTCAGTCTCACTCTTCGCTTGCTGTATACGAGTAGGAGGAGCACCGCTGGGGTCCTCTCTGCTCCACAGTAACACCAAGCACCAGCCCCTAGGCAAGGTGAGGATAGAGAAGCACAATTATTATCTAGAAATGGTCTTCCTTCGTCGGCCAGAGCGATGAAGTCTCGGAATACCACATAGAAAAAACCTACCACTATTGACAACATTCAAGATCAACCATAGCTCAAGCTTCCTGCTTGCAAGACAAGGTGCAAAGAGATCCGTCCAGAGCACGCCGCAGTAACACCAAGCACCAGCCTCTATCCAAGGGGATGATAGCAAAGCATAAGTATTATCTAAAATAGTCTTCCTTCGTCAGCCAGAGCGATGAAGTTCGGAATACCGCATAGAAAAAAACCTACCACTATTGACAACATTCCAGATCCATCATACCTCAAGCTTCCTGCTTACAAGACAAGACGCAAAGAGATCCGCCCACAGCAGGCCGCAGCAATCAGTATCTCCTGTCTCCGAACCCTCCGGTATTAGTTGTATCCCCAACAGGTGCCTGAACCGGATCAGTGCTAGGCCCCCGAAGTCTCCGAGCGTTTTCAGACTGTTCGGGTTCGTGGTCTTTGCTCGATAGGTTGTACTCGAGTACTAGATGGATGAGATGATGATTTTTCGATTAGCTACGGAGACAAAGCCTGGTTTTATGCAGGTCACAGTACTACGAGACAGGTATGCTGGACCCGGCTTAGCTACGTAACTTCTGAACCCCTGACACGATTACGCCAAGCACGACAACGCCCCAACTCAGGGCCGCTTAAGGATTTCGAAATGCTTTGAGTTGATGCGGCCAGCTGGTTGAGTGAAAACGGGCTGATGGGGACATGTAAGACAAAGGGAAATTTCTTGAGTAGATCATAGACTTGGCCTAAGCATTGCTTGAAGGAGGATTGATAGTCAGGCTGATGAGTGTATTAAGGATGTGCGGGAAGTGCCTAGTTTTATAGTCATTTGAGGGGTCGAGAAAGGTTTCGTTGTCCGGATACGTTGTCTTTACACCCTTCTGCAACGCTGTGGGGTACCGACGCAGGCTTCTATGTCGTATACAAATCTGAATGTGATAATATACCAGTCCGACAGTAGTATCCGCCATGCGAGTGATAGTTTGTGATTAAGTCGGGTTGTTGCAAGGTGGTTTCGCCCGCCGCTCTAACATACATATATGAAGGTTCAGGCAGCTACAGGGCTAGGGTTCATTGCTGAATGCTCTGGAGGAGGCCCAAAAAGGCCCGCACCAGAAACTACTCCGCCATTTACCATCCTTCAAGAGCACTACGTCAGCAGCTCTGGGATCTATCTCATCACCTACAGCCCACCCAACCGACCCTGACTGCATCCCTCCAGCACTGTCTCTGGTTGCGTTCCCGAACCCAGAAAAAAAACGCTCCAAATTCACACAAGTACTGCGGGCCTTAGACCCCGAGAGGAAATACAGCCACTAGATGAACAGTGTGTAACGAGATAGGAAGAGCGCCATACATTTCATTTCATCAGCAAGTTTATCCTCAGCGTGACGCAGGTAAGCCGTCAGTCACTTGAAGAGCGCTCTAAATTTTCATCGCTTGTTTAGACTGTTTCGGCGATCGACTACTTCGGTGGTACGTTGTATGCTGAGCACACATCACTGATACTAGTCTGGAGGTGGTTATTCTGCTCGAAGTATGTTGCGTTACAAAGTCGGGAGTGACACTCCCCGACTGGTGTCATGCCGACTTAGGTGCATACATCGTAGATGGGCGTAGTGGACACGGCACGAGTCCATTATTCGAGCACAGTTGTTGTATACGTGTATTCATGGTGACTCTGTGGTCAATCTGGCTAAACTGCTGTGTTGTTAAAACCACCAACGATCTCTTCTCAAACCTTCTACGATTACTCACCTCCAGATACAAACTCTAACGCATATATCGGCACCATTCTATCCACCGTTCTCGGGCTCTACGCTCTCCGCTATGATTTCATCGTCAGCTGTAAAACCTCTCAGCCAGTGCAGCCCCGGGGTCCCGAGCCATACCCACTCTGCCACCATGACAGGTCCGATTCACACGTTTGATCACTAACGGCACTACTCATATATTTATTGTGTATGCAGGCAAAAACAAGCTTCTTGTAAGTTCTTTGTGACAGAATACCTTTGTTCCCAGAATGTTTAGTGGTGTGGTGCTGATAGTCGACGATTTTGGAAGGTGCCGACGAAGGCTCATCACGCCGCGAATCTACCTTGAACGTACTCTGTCTTCACTGCCTAATGAAATCTATATCATCAAGCACTTTCCAACCGGCCCCCGGCTTTAATGCCACAAGCTTTTAATTAAGCTACACCTTACATTGCAAGTGGTATCAACACCAATTATCGCAGCATGCAATTTATAGACCTCTCACTTTACAACTCGAACCAACAGCTGTGAGCTGGATAAACTATTTACGCCAAAGAATTTTCTGGCTTTATCAAGCTTGAAGATACCACGACTGCCATCAGTGGATACGAACTTAAGAATGTTCGAATGAGTTATTGACTCGGGTGCCTGAAATATAAGTCCACTTTGATCAGTGTAGTGTGCGTATAACCTTCTATCGCAATACCTTTTACCCCCAAAATAATAATTACCATGATCTGCAAGATCGATTTGTTGCAAGGCATTATGATCATATTCGGAGTCGACCCCAGGAAACTTTTAGATATATTATAAACAGTCGTTGATCAAACCCCCTCTCCCTCACAGTCATTCATTGAACCATTCAAAAATTATACAGAGCATTGTGTCCTTTGTTCTCGAAAATCGTCCAAACAGTTCTTTGTTTCCAAACCTCTCATAACCCACCACTGCGCCATCAACGAGCTACGCCTCATCAATCCCCCCATCAAGATTTTATCGATGACACGCATTGTACAATCGAAATTCAACAATTGCAATCGGGCAGAAAGAACAGAAATAATGGCTTGCAACCCCGTACGAATGCGCAGGAAACAGCACCGCCGAACGATACATGTATCCACCAAAACAAAACCTACCTTCTATCCATTGACACTCTCCCTCCGCGGCGGTGGCCCCGCCCCCGCCCCCGCCCCAGGAGTTCCTCCAGGCCCTCCCCCAGCCCCCGCTCTCGTCCCTCCCCCACTCTCATCCCTGCCCCTGTCCGCTACCTGGACCAACTCGTCGTCCCCGCCATCGCCCCCCACCGCATGCTCAACAGCACCCGCTACATTCTCAACCGCCAAATGCGCAGCACCGTCGAAGACCTCGTCACGCTGCACCGATCCCTCTACTTCCTCCAATTCATGCTACGCAGCCTCTACCGCCGCGTCGCGCGCACCATGACTACCAACATCGCAGCCCCCAACCGTGTCCGGCTCGCAAAGCGCGCAGTCTCGCAACGCGATACCCACACCTCACTCCGCGCACACTTCTCCCTACACGAAGCACGCGGCCTCATCATGCTCGACTTTGCCGCCAACGCCATACGCTCATGGAACCAGATGCCCGGCGTGACGGTGGACGGCGCGGGGGTGCGGTCGTTTCCGCGGGTTTTTGGGCGCAGCGAGAGGCGGATGTATATTCTTGTGCAGAGGCTGATGGATCAGCATGAAGCTATGTATAGCAGCGTTGGCCTGATGCTGAGGGACTTTTATGCGTTTACTAGTCCGTTTTATTGTGGGATGCAGTAGTGTTTTGCCGTTGTTGCTACTGTTGTTGATGATATTGTGAGGTTGGAGATAGATCTGCTATGGATTTATTCTCTTTTTATATTGGTTGGGGATTAATTGGGGGTTGTAGTTTGTTATATGTCGCTGTAGCGGGTTTTTAATACATGGACAGAATCTATTACTTCTCCTTTTACTCGGGGCTTTTGCTATTTAAAATTGCAGGTGCGATTATGATATCCATTTAAAAGACACACACACAGGAGCTCTTGCTCAGAAAAGAACGAGCAATATTTCCATTTAAATCCGCAGCTCTACTTTTATCGGCACATATATCATTGCCAGGGTTAGGGTTCCAACTACATAACGACACCACGACCAGAACCAACTCGACCCAACCCATCGTACATCTCCAACTCTACTTCAACATCACAGACAAACAGAAAAAAGCACAAAATCTATTGTTCCCTCCCAAAAACACACCACCAATCCCCCACGTGACCCCCTTTGTCTCCTCCACCACACGCTGACCACATCCTTTGTTCCCCTCCCCCCAGCACCTACAAACCTAAACCTCCAACGCCCTCAGCACCTCCGCCGGAAACACCTGCACACTAAAATACCCCCTCACGGCGGCCCTCATATCACCCACCTGCGCCACCACCTCCTTGAGGCGCTTCTCCAGCGCACCCGGATTCGCCACCGCGCGCTGGACCTCCGCCATCTCTTTCGCAAGGGCAGCTTCGCGGGTGAAGATGGACTTTCTGGAGTAGTTTGCGAGGCCGACGCGGATGTGGAGCTTCTTCTCTGCGAAGAGGTCGTCGCGTGCTGCGTGGCGCTCGTAGCGGGCCACCGTCTCGGTGTTGTAGGTTGTGAGGTCGTCTAGGTCGCGGAGGAGGCGGGCGGTGCGGGTGGAGAGGGAGGTGAGTGTTGCGGGGAGGATGGAGGGGTGGTGGTGGGTGGGCATGATGGGTTTGTTTGTGGTTTTTATTATTTATTCACGATTTGTTTGAATGAATTAGGTACTGGGGCAGCTTGGTATGTATGTTGTGCGAGAGTGCAGTGGTGGTTAAAGTCGGTGTTGAATTTTTGAGATAAAGGGTGTGCGTGTGGGTCTCACTTATATACACACAACCACAGCATTCATAGCAATAATGCACCCCCCACCCACTTGAAACCCATGAACCACAACCTCCCTCCCACTCCCCAGGTAACTCCCATCGCGATCGCCGCCCCACCTCCCCTTCAAACCTCCCCCTCACATCCCCCCTACACGATACAAACATTCCCCCTCCCTCCCCTCCCCCCCGCCCTCCCACCTCCCCTCCCCGCCCACCTCAACGTCGCCAACAAGCACCCCACCACCTCCCTCGTCGCCTCCAGCAGCTTCATCAGCCTATCCTCCTTATCCTCGACCTGCGCCACCAGCGGCATAAACTCTGCCACGGTGCCAAACCACTCGCGCAGCACCCCATGCGTCAGTTCCATCGCGCCGCCGAGGCCCGTGTCGTCGCCGTGGGCAAGGTACGACTTGAGCGTGCTCTGCAGCTGGTTGAGCTGGTTGTCGCAGTCCTGGAGCGTGCGGCGCGTGCGGATTATGGTGGTGTGCAGGTCGTCGATTATCTCGGTGGGGACGGTGGGCGGGGGAGGGGGGCTGTGCTTGGGTGGGAGGTTAGTAAACCGAGCTAATACGTATAAAGAGATGGGGTAGAGGATCTTACGGAATGCCCCATTGCTGCTGAAAATCGTAATCCATATCCATTTTGTCGAACGTGCTTTGTAATAGCAAGTTTACAGGCTTAGGTGAAGAGCGAAGTGGAGGGAAGAAACCGCGGGTATATATACCACCAGAACTCAACATATACGTGGCATCGCAATATTATATATATCTGGACTTGCCTCTGGTTTACTTAAATGTCATTACTTTACAGAAGACACCACCGCAAACCGGCACTAGTAAACATGGCATACCCACAATCACACAATATCACTCGCCTCATTAATCCTCCGTCAACATCCCCCATTCCAATTATCTGGACCGCCATATAAGGCAGACACACCCCATAAACAATAACTCCCCACTCCGACTACCTCTACAATAATCTCGGGATGCAAGTATTCAAGAGGAAGTAACTACCATAATCTTCATTAGTAGAGACATATAAAACAACTTCCCTAATCACCTTCATCCAACCCTATATATCCAAGTTACGTGTACTCATTCCAGAGCGTGTTCCTGCGTCACGCCCTACAGTACCTAAGCTTTCGCTACACCTACGTATCGCCAAACCCTCCCACACATCGATTTCCGAGTGACCACCAATGACCAACACCCCACTCCACGTCAAACCGACAGAACTCTCCAATTCTCCTCTTCACGACGCACCATCTCATTAACACATAGCCACCTCACACAACGGACGATACTTCACTCATTATTTAAAGGTCCCCTAACCTACATATATATCCCCCCCCCACAACACTGCCAAAATCTACACCACACCACACATCACCACCGCCACAAAAAAAATAAGAACACGCACAAAAAAAACATTTCAGCATTCCTCTTCCCCCTCCCCGTATATCATCCTCATTACATACAACCCCCCACCAAATCAAACCATCAAACCCATCAAACATCCATGATATTACGTACGCAAAACTCTAACCATAAACAACACAACAATGCACAAATGCAATCCAACAATCACGCTCACAAGCTAACAAAACAAAAAAATACAAAAAATTCATACATCAAGATTTAATATCCATACGGCGTACTCCCATACGGCGAACTACCCCCCGCGCCCGTATTCCTCATCTTCGCCCTCTCTAACGGCGTCATCCCCACCTTCCCCTGCCCCTGCCCCTGCCCTTGCCCCACCACCGGCGACCCAACTCTCCCCCCCGCAACAGCCGGCGACCCAACTCTCCCCCCCGCAACAGCCGGCGACCCAACTCTCCCCCCCGCAACCGCCGGCGACCCAACTCTCCCCCCCGCAACCGCCGGCGACCCCACCCTCCCCGCCGGCGTCGCAATCCTTCCAATCGCCACACCACCCCCCACACTCACACTCCCACTCGCACCCCCACTCGCCCCCTCCATCTCCGCCTGCTCCTCCAGCTTCCCATACGCCTCCTTCACCGCCCTATCCACAATCTCAAAGTCGCCCTCCACCACCGCAATCCTCTCCGCCAACTCCTTATCCGTCTCCGCATCCGCCGTCGCCTTCTCGCCCGCAGCAGCCTCAACAACCTCCTTCGGCGAGCCGGCAAGATGCGCCTCTGCGAGATTGACTTGATTCAACGACTCGTTGATAAGCAGGGAGGCGGCGTGGAAGACCTTCATGAACTTGATTGACGTCTCCTTGAGGTCCTTGAGCGTGTCGTATGCGCAGGCGATCTCGCGCTTGATAAGGGCGGCGTCGCTGCCGGGGGAGGGGAGGGTGTTGACGAGTGCGGTGACGGCGGCGGTGATCTCTTCGGTGTAGTTTAGTTCTGCGTCGAGGCCGCGCTCGATGCTTTCCTCGATGGTGTTCATGAGCTGTTGTGTGCGCTCGTGTTTTGCCTGTGCCGCCTCCAGAACACTAGATATCACATCCAGGAATCAGCATCGACCACTTACACTACCGACCAACCCAAGGCCGAAAGGGAATACATACGCCTTCTTCTCACTCTCCTCGAAATGCTTCTCCATACTCTTCATCTTACCGATATTCCCACTCACATACAACGGCTGAATCACCGTCTTCTTAAACTTCTTATCCCTCTCCAGAATCGCCACCTGGACCTTCCCATGCCTCGTCTCAATAAACTTACTCAACTCCAACAAGCCCTCCATCAGCTCCGTCAGCTCCGCACTCTCCGACGCCACCCACCTATCCTTACCCGCGACCGTCACCGGGACCCTCGCCTGGATCTCATAATACTTCTCCATAAGACCCGTGATCCCCTCCTGGATCTTATCATACACCTTCGAGAAGACCTCCGTGCAGTAGATCTCATACTCGTCCTCCTCCTCCTTCGCCTCCTTCCTCGCCTCCTTCGCCTTAAACTCGCCCTCCATCTCCTTGATATCGCCATAACCAATCTGCTGATCCGCAAACAGCTCGTCCGTGTACTGCTCATGCTGCTCCTGTCTCGCGCGCCGCTCCTCATCGAGCTTTCTGCGCCGCTTCTTCGCAGACTCGGCGTAGGCGCGGTTGATGTCCTCGATGAAGCTAAAGTCCTCACCGATGCTATCGATAGTCTTCCTCACATCATCCATGACCTTCGTCTCCTTGCTCCTCGGCGCACGGCTCGCCGGTAACACCGCCGAAAGCGTATCCAACGCAGGATTTGGTGCGGGCGCAGTAGGGAAATAGCTCTGTTTCTTCTTATCCAGCGCCTCGTCTCCACCGCCGGGAGTCGAAAAGATAGTCGAGCTCCCACCAGAGCTAGGTGGATACGCATCCTGAGAGTACGGCTGGTATCCATCGACATAGGTCTTCGCACCCTTCAACGGACCGAATGGATGAGAGCCCCCTTGGCTAGTAGGACTATCCACCATCGTCTCAGACCTCGACAAAGGATACCCAGGACCCAGAGAATTGCGCTTCGACTGCTGCTGTCCCGGACCCCCGGCCATGAAAGTCGACGCCCTCTTCGGATCATACGCGACAAACTCGCCTCCTCCCGGAGCCGGCGACGCGTTCCTGCCACCCTGCGTAACCGGATTATACGGCTTATAAGCCCCCGTCGACTCCTGCGCCGCAGTTTCAGTGCCGTTGAAAGGAGCATACTGGCTCTCGCCCGCCCCAGCCGAGAACCTAGTCGGCGAAGTCGGCGACGCAGGATTCAACGCCTTGTACTCACCCTTCTGCGCCGACGGCGGCGAAACCGGCTCTTCATTAAACGCAGCATGTCCCTTATTCAGACTCTGCGCCACCACCGACTCGGGCCGCTTCCGAATAACCAGCGGCTCCGGCGATAGCGGCGGATCCTCCAAGCTTACCGGCTTATGCGCCGGTTTCGGGGACGGCGGCTTTGTTTCCACGTATGACACAGGTGTCTTTGGCTTTTCCGGCGCCCACTGGGTATGTGGTGGTGCGGCCACCTCGATATGCTCCGACGGGACAGGAAGTATAACCTCCGCCGGCGGCACAGCAGCGGAATTGCTTCTCGACCTCTCCTTCGGCCCAAGCGCGCCTTCTGGCAACAATCCAAGTTTCTCCTTCGAGTCCTTTTCCTCCTCTCGTCCGCCATACTGTGGTAACCTTCCATACACGCTACTCTGCCGACTGGGCGGCTCGCCAAGGGCGAGAGGATACCGCTGACCACGGACATAGTACTCGTGTTCCATGAAGTCTGTAAAGACCTTCAGCTTCTCCTCGTCCGTCGTTGCGGCCGCCTCTGCCCGGATCATGACAATGTAGCGCTGAACCGAGTCCTGATAGAACGGATCCAAATTCCGAACCGGGTCGGAGTCTTGCTGTTCGTGGCTAGGCGGTGGCTGAGTCATTGTCACCGAAGTCGCGGGGGTGAGGACCGTAGCCTCCGACAGTGCTGGTGTCCCCCCTCCCACCGTTCGAGGTGGACCTGAGGCCTCGGAGTGCTCCTGGGACTGGAGTGGTAGTTGTGGCTGGTGCTGTTCCTCTGTTAGCTGCGGCCAGCCTCCAGGAACATTCGCTTCCTCTTCGCCGGGAGTATACGACTGAGGCCACCCCCCCGGGACATTAATACTAACTTTAGGATCATCAATTTTCAAATGCTGAGGCTTGTGGCCCTGCGAGACAGTAGTAGTAGTAGCAGTAGCAGGAGTGTGGTTTTGTGCCGCCGCCCATTGTTGATTATCACCCTGCTTTTGTTGCGCCTGATTATCTTGAGGCCAGTGCTGCCCATTTCCTCCATTCTGCGCGTGCTGATACTGCTCTTGAGGCGGCTGCTGCTCTTGAGTCCATTTCTGGGTATCTTGATGCTGTACCTGCTGCTGCTGCTGCTGTTGTTGCGACCACGCCTGAGTATCATGCGACTGCTGTTGCGGCCAACTCTGCTTCTGCTCCAACTCTTTCAACTTCTCAAACGCCGGCAGCGGCGCCCCGCCCGCCGGAGACTCCGACCAGCCCGCCTTCGAGTCCTTATACGCATACTCCGCCGTCTGTGTCGGGGGCGGCACAACACTCGCCTTATGCGCACTAGGTGTCCCAGTACCCTTCCTCCCCCCCGCCCCACTCGACGGCCTCTGGAACCCACCATGTCCCTGAAAGCCACTGCCCGGCCTACTCCCAGGCCTGCTACCAAACAGCTGTGCATGCTGAAACGCGTTTCCAGGACCCTGCGGATGCTTCGCGTCAGAGCCCATAGTATACGATTTCGCCGGCGGCGGTGGTGGTGGCGGCGTAGAACTATACGCCCCCTCGGCATGGTTCCATCTACCGCCGCCCGTCGCCATCTCCACCGGACTGTGCGGCTTCACCGGCTTCGGGTGGTGCACATCGACAGGCGAGATCGGCCTGCTGACCACAATGTTTGCATCTTCAGTGTTGCTGTTACCACCGTAATGCTCCCAGCTGCCCGACGCGCCCGCGAATGTCTTCGTCTTCCCCGGCGGCTTGGGCTTCGTAAACAGCGGCTCCGGCTGGATGCCGTGGAAGGTGTCTTTCCTCTTCGCCGACGCCGGCGAGCCCGCGACGGGTGCCGCTTGATTCTGTTGTTGCTGCTGCTGGTTTAGATGCTCCAGATACGCAGATGCGCCAGGCTGTGCCGGGGCAGCAGCGGGCGGTGGTGTGGTGTTTGAGAGCGGCTGGTTATACTGTGATCCGCTGGTCCAGCTAGACCCCGATTGTGTGTTCTGAAATTGCTGAGACTGTTGCTGGGGTTGCTGGTATTCGCCTTGGTTTTGGGGCCAGTAGTTTCCTTGGTCGTTTTGGGTCGAGGCTTGCGCTGGTCGTTGCGTGTTATGGTCTTGTTGGTACTGCTGCTGGTGATCGTTGGAATTGTACTGCTGCGTATCTTGGTACCCGTACTGGTGTTGTTGCTGCGGCTGCTGCTGCTGCTGCTGCTGCGTATCTGTATACTGGCCAGTGGTAGGGACTGCATAATCTGGATGGAGAACCGGGGGTGTATAAGTGAACGGCTTCTTCTGCTCCGGTTCCTGTGTCGCACCCCATGCCGGAATCGTAGTCGAAGCAGGATAGGCGCCAGCCGTAGGGTTTATATTTCCCGCCTGGTAACTACTCGACGTGTTCGCCGGTGCAACATAACTACCACCCAACTTCCAGTCAGCCCTTGCTTAACACGACACACAACATACAAAACCCCAAATACTAACCCTGAATGATCACCCGCCGGGCTCGACGTATCACCCTGCCCATAACCACCGGGTGTGACCCCGCCATCGTAGTATCCATGATGGCCCTGATTCTGCGGCTGCGAATACTGCTGCTGAGGCGTAGAACCCCAGCTATGACCTTGGCTCTGATGAACCTGCCCCGTCGCCGACGACGGATACGTGCTCTCACCCTGATACTGCTGCTGCCCGTACGCCGTATCCACCGGTGGCGGCGGCGGCGGCGGTGGTGGTGGTGGTGGCGGAGGCGGCGGCGGGGGAGCCTGTTGCGGAGTTGACGATTGCCCGTATGGAGTGGGACTATAGGACGATCCGGGGTTGCTGTTGTAGTTGTTATTCATGGGATTATAGACCACGCTCGACGGTCTCGGCGGGACCGGGGGGCCCTGCGGCTGCCATTGCTGCTGGGGCTGCTGTCCCCAGCTTTGTGGGGGTGGGGGGGGCGGCGGTGGGGGCTGGTGGTGCTGCTGCTGGTATGGCGAGTGCTGCTGGGTGTAGGGTTGTTGCGGGGGGTACTGCTGGTACTGAGAGTTGTGGTAGGGGGTCTGTTGCGGGGGGTATCCACCTAAACAAGACAAGCCAAGCTTCTGTCAGAGAATCCAAGCCAACCAAAACCCGGCTCACAGCACCAGTGTGAAGATTTCGCGGTCGTCTGGGGGGAAGTGTACTCCTGTGTCACTCGAGAGCAACAAAAACAGCCAGCACAAACAATCCCTCATTGCTTCTCACCGCGCACCAGAATGGGATGGGATGAGCAGATGAGATAAGACTTACTACCATAGCTCTGCTGCACCCCGGTTGCCGTTCCCGGCTGAATCCCGCCCATCTGGCCCTGGCCCTGCCCCAGGTACTGCTGGTGCTGCTGCTGCTGCTGGCCGTACATATTATGCTGTGGTTGCTGCTGCTGCTGGGTTGTGGTGTCAACTCTGTGTCCAGGCCACGGCGGTGGTACTTTGTAGATATGGTTGTTCGAAGTCATGGGAGAGCACACGGAATATTTTAGCACCAGCTCGCTCTCTCTCTCACTCCTTACTGTGGTGTGGTTGTGTTTGTTGATGCGGTGGGTGGGTGGGTGGGTGGTGGGTTGGTTGGTTGGCTTGGCTTGGCTTGGCTTGGCTTGGCTTGGGTCGGGTTCAGCCGCAGCCTTGGCCGTAACTGATACGGAGAGGGGTTAGCCTGCAGGACGACAACGCGACGTAGCTAGCTCTGGGTGAGTCTTCAACGCAAAGACCGGCTGCGAGAAGAGCTTCCTTCCTTCGATCGATGAGAAGACGATGGATGCCCCGCCCGACTTTTTTTTCTTCCCCGCTGACAGGAAGGAAGGATAATAATCAGGGTCCAGGTTCTGTCTGGTCCACGTGGTTTGGGGTCGGAGAAGAAGAAGGTAGGTCAGGTCAGGCAGCAGGTAAAGCACCTACTCTACCTAAGGATATAAGGATAAGGCAGGCCAGGTAGGTAGGGGTGTCGTTAGAATAAGGTAAGGAAGGACGCTTCCAAGGAACGGACAACTTGCAAGGGTCGTTCGATTCGTGTTGACGTGTGGCGGGTATGGAGTGGCTGGGGGTGGTTAAAGCCACTCTTTATGGCGAACTAGGGTGCCTGGTGTTACCACGGCGGGGTTACTGTTACTGTGTAAGATTGAGAAATCGATCATTGGCATAAATACTTGGCCGTGAATAAATTTGGCTCGACGGCCAAAGTCTGACATCGCTGGAGGAGACGTGTACCGCACTGGTCCATTGCAAGTATATAAACAAATCTCAGAAGGACTGCTTCCTCAGCTCAGCTCAGCCAACCCAACCACCGAGTTACACAACACGCAGGATCCTTTCATCCCTTTCATCCATCCCCGCCTAAGCAAGCTTAATTAACACCCAGAGCTCGAGAACCACGATACATATAGGAATCAGAAAACTGTAGAAACTACATCATTTTTAAAAGGAAGAAAATTTAACGGATTCAAAGCAAGGCATCGATGGATCCAGATTCAGGATGTCATCCCGCAAGGCCACAGCTTCAAAGTCCAGTGCGCATACCGATAATAAAAAAATCCAATAAATCACAACCATTGGCATTATTATTCTCCCCCACACGATATATATACACATCCCCTTCCACAGGACCGTCCCCTAGTTGATACGGGGCGAGTTCAACGGCGACGCCACACATCTATATCCGCTCCCAAAACCCACCACGCCCCGTCCCCTCAACCCCACCACAACCCTCAATCCTCCTCCCCCTCCTCTCCCGGGCCCGCCAGGAACGCCTGCCCCATCTCCCACACCCTATCAACCCCCGCCTCCTCCATAACCTTCCAAGCCTCCCATTCACCCCTCCCCCACTCATCCAACCTCCTCTCTCCGCCGCGTCCCCCCACATCAAACACCCTCACAACCTTCCCTCCCTCCTCATCATACGCCCCCCACGGCGCCTCGCCATACACATACCTACACCACGCCGCCGCCACCTCCCCCTCCAACTCACGGTACCCCCCCGTCTCCGGTAGCTCATCATGCTGGTTCAAGAACGAGAAGACGACATCCACGCCATGGTGCGCGCGGCCCCTATTCGGCCCCTCCAGCGGCGTCGGCACCGCAAACTGCGCGAAATATGCCTCCTTCTGCGGGTGCCCGGTCCAGTACCGGGTGAACATGTATGCCGGGAGGCGAAAGCCGTAGTCGGCGATGAGGACGTAGAGCTTCTCGATCGTTGTGTCGCGCGGGTCGCTGGGCGAGAGGCGGAAGTGGGAGAGGAGCGACGAGGTCTGCTCGGGGGTGAGCTGGCGGGAGATGCGGCGCTTGAAGGTGCGGAGGGGGTTGGAGTAGTCCTTGATGGCCCCGCCTTGCTGCATCACGCCCCACTATCTTGTGTTAGCTCTGCCTAGCTACCTGGAGAAACGGAGAGAGGGCGGATGGGGGTGTGAGACTTCGTCTTTGCAGGAGCCAATCACGAGGCTGTCACACCAGTCCGGGAGAGGCTTGAAGTTCTCGTGGCGGATCCAGTCCTTGGTGGGGATAAACTCGCCGTCACTAGTCGGGCATATCTCGACCTCGAACGCGATCTTTGCGAGCTCGACAGCTGGGATGGTGAGCATACGCTCCGCCCGCTGCAGCGGCGGGAGATTGGCAAAGTCGAGCTTCTCGCAGGTCTTGAGGTATATCAGCTCCTGTGCGTCCAGCGGCCGCGGCGGAAGCAGTCCAGCGAGACCTGAGAGCAGGATGGCCCGCTTGAACAGCGGCACTTTGGAGTATAGGTGCAGTGACCCAGCGACTAGCTGGGGGTATCAGTGCTGCTCCTGCGAGGATTATAAGTAGTTGCAGACGGAAAACTTACTCCCGCCGGCGCTCTCGCCCATGAAGGTGATATTATCGGGGTCACCGCCAAACTGCTGGATATGTTCCTTAACCTACACACCATCAGCAGACCGCTCATCTCCCCCCCCCCCCCCCCACCACCAAACCAAACAACGCACCCATCTCAACCCCACCACCTGATCCTTCAACCCATAATTCCCCCCCGCCCCCACCTCCCCACACGCCAAATACCCCAACGTGCCCAGTCTATAATTCAGACTCACCACCACCACCGGCCTCCCCACCACATCGATACTGTGCTTCACAAACCGCCTCATATCATACCCCACAAAGTTCGCACTCCCAATGCGGTTCGCCCCGCCATGCACCCACACAATCGTCGGCAACAGCACCGTCGTCGGCGACAGGTTATCCTTCTCCCGCTCCTCCGCGTGCACGGACGTGTATGGCGTTACAACCACCAGGTTCGCGCATTCAAGCTCAGACATGGTCTTCCGCTCTGCCGGCATTGGCGTGAGTTTGTGGTTCAGCACGCGTGCGTCGACTTCTTCTGCGTCGGGCTGCTGCACCGCCATCGGCCTATCGCCCACCCAGCGACATTAGCAATCGCATCGCAGAGACGGGCTGTGGAACAAACGTACCCCCATTTCGTCGCGTCGAAATCGCCAAGATGCGTCACGGGCCCCACGGGGTCCTTGAAGCGCCCGGGGATGCGCGCGTATGGGATGCCGCGGTATTGGACGACGTTGTCGAGGACGGCGCCGGTGATGCGGCCGAGCTTTGTGGTGAGGATGCGGGTTTTCTCCATTTTTTTTTTTTTTTTTGGGGGGGGGCGAGTTTGGGATTTCTGCGGTTGGGAGAGGAAGGGGGGGGGGGGGGGGGAGGAGGAGTTTGGTTGTTGCGGTGGCGGCGGCGGGTTAGTAACTATAGAGAGGGTGATGTATGACGTCTTCGGAGATGTGGTGGTGGTGAGGACGTTAACGGTATATGCCGTCATAGCTAAGGAATTAGATGGTTCTCCCCACAATCGAGTGGTCTTGGGGCGTTAGATATGGGGCTTGATGGATGGATGGGGGGGATAGCTATAGCTAGAGAACCTGGTGGGGGTGGTGAGAATCACCAGATATCACTCGACTAGAGCGGCGGTGAGGTTTGGGTACCGGTACTTCTTATGGACTCCTGGGGCAGCAGATGAGTTGAATAATTCCTCCTCCCTTGTGGTCTTTTGTTGATGCATGAAGATAATAACTATCTCTAGCTCAATTGATTACTAGGGTAGCATCTCCTCGTGTAAGCTTGAATGCTTCACCCGCCCTATATAACCTTAACCCGCGCGCGGAGAGGACCATGAATCTCCATATCCGCCCCCCCCCCCCCCCCCACATCCCCATTCCCGCCGGGGAAGCTCTCTGTTTTGCGGCAAACCACTCTGTTGGATTTGACATATATTCGTCTGAACCTGATTCACATTCTACGTTCCCCGGGCTACTGCAGCGGCCGGTGGTGGCACACTAAAACCCATCTCACATCAGCGCCGTTTGCTTGGTGGAGATGCATCTTTTGGATTAATTGTGAGCTGACGTTAATTAAACCGATGATGTTTGCATCTGCTCCCGGTCTCACAAGACGGGGAATTGTCATACGCAGCTTTGTAAAGTGCCGGGTTGTGGAAACATAAAGGAAGCTACCGGGAACTACATGTAGTGGATATCCGCAAATACATACTGTAGCTATATTAGCTGTGAACGACTTATCCAAGAAACAAACCTTTTAATTGCATGTATATAAGCAGGTGGAACTATACCAGCAGCGAGCGGGGCGGGTCCATACATGTAGTTGTAGCCGCATATATAGCGAGGCCATATGATCCGGGGAACGTTCCTGGGACAAATAGCATGATCAAACACTGCATAAACAAACATTCAAATGAGTCTAAGCGGGAAGGGAAGAGAAGGGCGGTTGTACGCTGTGGGGATGTGTATAAAAGAGAGGAAATAATCTCACTGGAGTTCTCTTTTAAATTTACCATACGCACTATTACTTCATGAATGAATCATGTCAATCAATCAATCAGTCAATGAATAAATCAATGAGTCAATCGATGAATCAATCAACCAACCACCAACCAACCAACTAACCAAAAACACCCACCACGATCATGACCACTCACTCACAACCACTATCCCCCAACCAGAAAACTCCCCCCTCCAGCCAACCCATCAACGACTAATAGCCGTAACTACACCACCTCTAACCGCACACCGCATCTACCCACAGTGAGGAGGCAGAATCCGAAGCCGCCTAAACTCTAGTATAAACTCAGTTCGATCCACCGGCGCACACCACAACCCCATCCATGCCAGATATGCTTGCAGAAATCTAAACCCCCGAGAGCCCGCCCGTCTTCCCAACCCCCACCAGGACCCAACCCTACTACACCTCCGGCACCTATTCTACCCACACCCCGCCAGCTGGCCCTAAGGCAATAGCTCTGTAAACCGCATTCATAATGCGATCCAATAACCCTAGCCGTTACTCTATCCCGTACCTCCATGTACATGTACACGCCTTCTGTACAAGGCGTACCAAACGAACGTTATTTCACCTTCTTTTCCTTCTTCTGCTTCTTTGCCCCCCCCCCCCCCCCCCCCACGCGCTCAGCATTACCACACTGCATCCTGCTGCCAGTATATCTCGAACCCAAAGGTTCCTGGTTGTGATGGCGGAGGACAGTGTGGAATTGATAATGTTGCCGCACCAGGATTTATGAGGGAATAGTCCCCGGCCTGGCCGAGGACACAGACCATCACCACCATGGATCAGTCGGTCAATCAACCAATTCAGTGGCGAAGAGTGTGTACAGGAAGGGGAAGGGATGAACAACAACAACAGCCAATTAATCAATCAATCAATCAATCAATCAACGCATCAAAGCAAGGCACAGAGCTAATCAGCTATCACTCAAGACGAAGATTGTCATAACCTTCATTCTTCAAATATTTAATCGGCCAATCAATAAAACAAGCTGAGGACAAAGACGAGTGATATCTCATGGCGGAATATTATAACGCCACGGCGGTCCTGATGACAATGCTGTCAATCCGGATTCCGATTGACCAGGAGCTTTGTTCGTTTCTCTAGTAGTTAGAGCGATTTGCCCCCGGCGGAAGGGTTAGGAATATCACGGGGAGCGGTCCCCGCGTCACCCTATGTGGTGATAAAGCTTCAAATACCTAAAATGACTCGGAAACTGTCAGTAGGCCGGTTTGTGGAGATTTTCTATGTATATAGCACGACAGCCGTGTCCGTAGAAGAGAGCCATAGGTTGGAGGGGACGGAATTTGGCGTGGGGTTGGCCCTTCTCCGAGCTCTCATTGAATGCTCTCAGCTGCTTTAAAGAATAAAAGTGGAGGTCTCCGATCGTTCTAAGCTTCCCACGCCATATTCAGGCAGGAAAACACCATACCATTGAATACATATACCCAAGCTTACCGCAACCCAAAAACACACAATGAGCATCACCGAAACCCGCCTCCCCGCCTTCCCGCACCCCCACCGCCCCCACCACCCCACCAAAGAACTTCTCAACGAAATCGTCGCCCCCTCCACCACCGACTTCCTCGCAAATCAGCCTTGCCCCTCAATCTACTCCTGCCGCCTGCGCACGCTCGAAAAGACGTGGCGTCAGGCCACCGCCGCGATGCGCGAGATCACGCGCAACCACCGCCAGGTTTTCGAGCCTGGCTACAACCCTAGCTCCTTCGGCGTCCGCCAGAACCTCCTCTGCTTTGGAAACGTCATAATGAGCACCAAGCATTTCCTGCGGCAGGTTGAGAGCGACGTGACGTCTATCCAGAATGAATCGCCCGGGTGCTATGGCCTCCCCGGGATGGTGGTTGAACGTCGTAGTATTAGCCTTCTAGAGATTGATGTGTTATACCATATGTACCTATGCATGGAGAAGGCGTGGTATAGGTTGCTGCGAGTGATGGAGAGATATTATCATGCAAATATGATCCAGGATCTGCTTGGAGGGGCGACGAGGAGGAGGGAGGGTAATTGGGAAAGTGATGAGGCCTATCAGACGTGGATGTATGATACCTTATCCCGGTACCATGTAGGGGTTGTGGTGGGAATGTAAGGTATTGAGAGAGTGTTGTGATTGGTGGTGTCTAACTATGGCCATCTAAGTATAGGAAATAGAAGGCAGATCTTTTATTCTTTCGTTTATTGTTTCGTTGGCTTTTTGCGATGAATTTCTATCGTTTTCCTCACTTGTACCTTATACATACATGTAATAACATCTTCTCTCGGGGGGTCGTCATATACCGATGCTCATAATATAATAAAAATAGACCTAAAACACACAATCACATTCTCAGCGTAGTGTCCCGTGCGCAATTAACAAATCGGGCAATATGTACCCATCAATCCATCACCTACCTAAGAGTATCAAATGCGACATTTCGTAGTCCAAGAATTGACCGAAGCCAATATCTGGGTGGTATATATAGGCCTACATTGGCCCAGTTTTTCTTTAGGCAAGGTTATGTACAGCCACTCAGCAAAAGTGTTTGTGATATAGTTTTAATGTCAGTGCGCAGTGTGGCGCACCCGTAATACTGATGTTATTAAAGTTGAGATTCAAAATAACGAAAAATATACAATATAGTTTGTGACTATATATAAAAAGAAGATAGGCCATTGGTCTTATTCTTCATTAATTTGGGGCCATTGGTCACTGGGAAAGTCTTCTCTTTGGGGGTTCTTAATGGTCCGCCGCGGTTACATATGGAGAAATGTCTCACTCCGAAATCGGAATCACGAACACTTTTGCAGAGTGGCTGTATATAGAGCTACTACATATCACACTCCGGTGATTTCCTCTGAAATAAACTGTCAGATATATATACTCTGGTGGGGAAAGAAAAAGCTTATGGATTTCAAGTATTTGATATCTAGCGTAGCTGATTTGAATTTAATTACCCACCATGCTACATTACTCCGGGGAAGACATATAGCTTGCAATATTGACTTTGAGTCTCGATCAGGTCTGCAGGCCTAAAATGAAGCGTTAACGATGTCATTCGATACTCCATGTATATATTTGCAGATTGGTTGTCACTTCTTCTTCTTCAATGTATCCAGGGTGTTGGAAAGTGATGTATATTTTTTGGTTTGACGCCATTTTGGGACAACACAACACGACCCCTACATTCAAGTAACGAGTGCAGAAGGTCTGTGTAACGCTAGGTAGGGATTCTGACGCTATTCAAATATGAAATAACCATTCATCAGGAAAGAAGTCGCCGGTAGGTAGCCAAAATCTGTGGTGAATAACCCAGAAGGTTATTGATGACATGTACCCTGTTTTTTTTTCATTACGAATTGAATTTCCACAACCAGATTAAATATATACTTGTGTGAAGACCTGTCCCTTTATCATTGAGATATAGTTAACCTAATGTGTACATTTCCCGACAACCTAGCCTAGTCACACCAGGTCCAGGACGTATAGCCAGTCTTCAGCTTATGTCCATATGCAAGTACTTCGACGAGTAAAGTTGGGAAATAATTAGTTCCAGGGTACGCTCCGAGATTACTAGCCAGGCTGATTGATTGATTGTTGTATCAACCATGAATTATGGGGAGCTCTATTCTAATTCTTTGATATGAAAATAGAGTAAATAAGTTAATTTTTTGATTGGTTGGTTTATGAAGCGGCTTGACGTCGGGCATTAAAGACAGGTTGTTGTACAACGTCAACTGTGATCCAAGCTAATTATATATACAGTAATGCCATGTGTTTTAACGGGACATCTGCATGTTGTACAATTGTGAGAGGCGATGCATGCCGATGTTCGGTGGTGGAGGATCGAAGCCATTCTTGGTTCACCAAGTAATCCCAGGGGGAACAGGAAAACCCCCGAAACGAATCGAGGTGGTACTGCGGTTCCAATATTTGTGATAGATAAACGCATAATACAGTACGTTCTCCTCGAAAATACCGTCTTTCTGCGGTTTTAAGTCCTACTATGCACATAATGGAGACATGGTTTGTTAGTAGACTTCCTAATTAGATATATCTATAGAGAACTGCGCATACTTTCTATAAAAATACCCACCAATGGAAGAAATGCAAATCCCGTATATTGAACTTGAACTCCCCAGATATATAATTTCTGACCAGGTCATAGAAATTCCGTTTCGCCTCTGTGATTTTATGCGCATCCCTAGATCGCCCAATGCCATATCTAATATTTCTCTTTACTGCATGCAAGTTGGCGAGGCGTGTATCTAAGATTTAATTAGCATCGGCGGTCGACACATCCATCCCCAAATTCCATTGAGACTATGTACCTTCGTTCTCTGTAGTCTTAATTAGTCTCCTCGATATGTCTCTTCTCTTGCATGCCGCCTGGACAATGACAATCTTTGGTCTCACATGACATCCGGAAAATTTATAAAGCTCTGGTTCTTTCGGATAAGCCCACCTAGCTTCGAGACTGGTGTTAGCTAGACGTACGTACCTCTTTTCAACCTCCCAGGTCCCCGGCGTGTTAGTTGATGGTATAGACAATCCAGTCGAAGGGTACTCGAGTTCGTGAGCTGCTCTGCAATCGTTGTCTGTTTTGTTCGGCAAGTATATTGAGAGATAATCAAGGAGGACAGATGCATATGTACACTACATGTAGTAGTCCGGAAAGCGGGTAACTGCGTACCCATGGGATATATAGGACTACCTAGCTTTCCCGCTGACGTGACGTCTTAACTTGTATCGTAACCAGCTTTTACTGAACCAGCTGCAGACGTGATACCGAACTCCGCCAGAGAAAGGACAGTTCTCAAGTTTCCCTAACATTATGAATTCATTACATGATAATTTGTCTTTGTAAGTGTGCTGGCCAGTAAGTCAGCAATCATTCGTCGGACTACTTTCGATTCTCAAATGAAAATCTGCTGGCGATTTTTGCTACCCACATTACTATCGTGCACAGATACGTACATAGGCCCACAAATCCATATCTACATATAGCCGCTCAAGCCGGGTCGCGGAGATGAGCAAGATCAATCCAACGAAGCCATGCCTTATCAATTTGGATACTCGACGGAGGAGTCAAAGGACTAGGCAGGATGTTTAAGTCAAAACAGTGTATCTCTGTTGGTATCTAGGCATGTTCTGGCAAACCCTCCAGTGGTCCATTTATGCGAGCGTTAACTCACACTTCATCTTATGAAGATGGGATATTTAAACATTGAAATATTCTATCTGGCTTTATCGAGCACGCCCTAGCTAGGTGGGGATCCTAATGAAGCTTTTAATTCCTCGACATGTCTTTCCCCCCACTATGAGGTAACAACTAACTAACATAGTTTCCAGTTGAGCAACTTACGTGGGTAGGGTGGGGGTGGGCGTTTGGGTTCGGTTGGGGCTCGAAAGCTAGTGTCTTTCCCGCTTTTGGGGCATTGGTGACTACTCAATGCTCTAGTACGGCCTCCCATTTGGATTGCTATCTATCTTTATCCGGAAAAAACCCGCAAGAACAGAATTTTAAATTATAAAACAGGTACGGCCTGCGAAAAGATATTACAATACGCTACTAGGTAGCTACACATACACAGTCGATCACAAGGAGATATAACTGACACCTGATTAGGAGAAGAAATCCTAATCCCGTTGAGAGGACTGGGCTCGGCAGTACACACAACTAGATCATATACATATTACGCGTTTAGCGGCTCTTGCATACAATTAATGAAGTGGTCAATCAGTGCGTCTAGCAGCTCGAATTACTTCCGAGTGAGATCCCATGATCACCACTAGTGACACGGCACATGGATACATGTAGTCTTACTATCGCATATTATAAGCGCACAGTGAATTAAATCCATGCACATAGACAGCTTAATCGATCAGGACGTCCTCAGACCAGTTTTTTTGAATATCAACGCTGTCGCGGGCCTAACATCTCTCCGATCCCTTCGTTCGTTTTCAAGATAGTGGAAATTAACCTGTTCGGGCAATTCCCGTTGTAATTCACCTAACCCTCCCTCCGCGAACCTCTTTAGGCTTCAAGTCACCGTTTGTGACCTCTTTTTCAACAGATCTTTCTCCTCCTGGAGGGTATCCACTACCTGTTACAGCTACGGTTTTGGGTATCACCACGCCGTCTCTCGGTTCACTAATGTGAAAGCCGGGCACGAACGTAGGAATTTTGCTCTGACGAACGAAGGATAGGGGGGACTTACGCTATGAGACGAGCTAAATCAATTCAGAGATGCGTTTACCTCCAATGTTATTAATGCCATTAATCTGCCTACAAGTTGCTACTTGATACGTTTATTGGCAACTTTAACTCTACAAGACTCGTAGGTAAATGTCGTATTGTGTGGGGTAAAGTCGTCGACAAAACCACCCCCGGGAATGTGACTAGAAGAAATAGAAATTTACGACATCTATAACCTCCCTGCAAAACGACACTAAATCATCTAGACAGCGGCCTTCTATATATTTATGATCTCGTTACTCATAGTGGATATTTTATTTCTCGGTCAGTTAACGCTTTGTACAGATGATTAGTACATGTATGTATATTACAAATTACGGAAAAGGTCTAAAATGACAGTTTTCGGTAGACGTGCTCTAAAATAACACGTGAATGCAAGATGACATAGTTCGGTATAATCTAAACGAATACATCATTTAGTATATGTAGTGGCTGAGCAATGATAATATCGAAGGATCGGGTTCAAGTTCGATCTTCATCTTGGCACACTGCCAAGCTAGCTCAAGTATCACTTCGGGCACAGCATCCACTATGGGCGGGTGGTCTAGTGGATAGACTGCTCGTCAACACCGAGTGTACCCAGGATACAACCACACACACATAAGGTCCTGGGTTCAAACCAGGGGTGGGGGTAGCAGTCGCAAATGTCTTAATAAGTCGCTGCAGTACCTTTTGTAGTTTTATAGAACGCTTTGTTCTTTTTTCTTGTAGTGATAGCGAACTGTCTTTTTGCATCATGTGTTATTTTGGAGCACGTATACCGAACATTGTGTCATTTTAGGCCTTTTCCGTACAAATTAACGCCCAACACCGAATTTCTCCAAACCCATGAACTATGACTTTACTGCTACATTTCCATACAGAGGTGCGTATACTATGTATACGAAGCGCCCTACAAACAAATTTTCTTCATTTCTTGCGCACACCATGGCTGCCTACTCGCCGTCCTTTGTACCCCCAAACAGCGAGCGAGTGATAGCCTATGATTATGCCGCCATTCAGTAATTGCTGACTGATTAATTGAGACATTGGCGGACCGGCACAAAATCACCCTACACACTACATTTCCTACAGCTCAGTCCACCAATGCAGCGGCATATACTCCACCATGGCCCCGCAGACCCCCCCACCGCCGCCGCCGCCGGCCCCACTACCTCCAAAACCGGCTCCTCCTGCAGTACCCTCAACCTCAGAAACTCGTCCTTTTCATCGTCGCTGACCTCTCCATCAATCTCCACCACGATAAGGCTAGACCAGCGCAAGCTTCTCCCTACGAACCTCTCGACATCGGTAAAGACATCGACATCTGCATCCGCGTCCTCCTCCCCCGGAGTCACGCGCCACGGCCACCCATCGCCGGCGTCCATTTCCTCTGTCAAGGCAATCTGGCACGGCGCCTGCATCTGCCGCTTCTCGACCTCCTGGATCCGCCCCCCCAGGCGCCGCCGCAGCGATAGTCTCGGGAATGTCAGGAGGTCCCCGTAGTCGCTCCAGGGGTCCCTCTCGGTGTCCCCGACCCGGAACGGCCAGGTCGTCTTGTCGAAGATGCGGTAGTCCCAGTAGCACAGCTGACGGTCGTGGGTGGGCAGGAACTTGATCTGTAGCTTCTGGACGCACCAGATCTCCATGGATGCGCATTGGAGCAGGCGCAGGAAGCCGTCGCTGCTGATGCCGGTGAGGTAGATCTCTCGAAGGAAGGTGTTGTCGATAGAGTAGCTGGGCCGTTGTTGGCACCATTTGTCGGTGAAGGGCGAGTCTTGCGCCTTCAGCAGGTGGAAGCCCATAACAAGTGGTCGCGCATGACGGCAGAGCTGCCCAAAGATCCAGGGTATGTCAACGATGGTGGCATCGTCGGTCCAGTGGTTGATGGTCAAGTCCACTCTGCCCATTGCGATGGGGATTTTCAGGGAGGGGACGAACTCACTTGATGATGTGAGAGTGATCCGGCCGTCCCAGACGATGATACTAATATCGTTGTCTGGGTCGACTCTCCTCCGAGAGGCAAGGTATTCTAGGTGTAAGCTTTCGATGAGGGTTATGTAGGGGGTCTTGAAATGTTGGAATATTCCCCGGATATCAACGGTTCGGCCATCAGTGATGACAATGTTTAGTTTCTTTGGGGTTGCCAGTGGATTTAAAATGGTCATGGTGTCAGGTGGGGTGGGATCATCTATCTGCCTGCAGACAATCGTGAGCGTCTGGTAGCTCAAGAGCACCGGGAGCTCGAGCCGGTCTACTTGATCGGGGGCCAACATATATTTGCACGAACAGTCTTCAGAAAGTAGCCTGAAGAACTGCTGGTCGCTAAGTTGGACCTCGTGGAATGGCCGCGCCGGGACCATCCCGGCGTCGACAGCATTCTTCCATAAACGGCAAACGCGGCCAAGGTTTCTTGAGCCAGATGCATGATCGATGGAAAGGTAGCTTTCCCCGTCGCTGGAGCTAAACTTTTCTCGCACAACATCATGAGTTTGGTGGCAGTGGGAGAGGATGATATACAGAAGCTCTCGAGGCAAAATACTGATAGGTGATGCAATTGATAGCTTCACATAGCTGCTGGTGACAGATTCCATTAATTCCGCCATAAGGCTATATGTTTGTTCTAGGTTAGAAGAAGGGCGGGTTCGTAGTGTACTCAACTCATCTACTACTTTTATGGAGAAAATTATTACCGCCACCCCAAAATGACGTGGCGGAAAAAAGATCCTAAGTTTAAGCACCAAGGAACTTTAGTCATTAGTGGGGTGATTAGTTCGCCTTTCGCGTGGCTCCTTTCAGCACCGGCCAGAAGATGTTTTCCTCGGGACCTTTGGTGGTTAGAGATTTCTTAGGTAAGCGGGGGAAATGATCATGGTGCAACATTTTGGATTGGGGGGGTAAGCCCTGCATAAACTGACAGCTGTGCTATGAAGATTACCACGCGATGCCCGGGTTTAGACGAACACACCAAGACTCGCACCGCCTTGGATAGCTGAAGCGACGGCGGCGCCCACCCAGCTGGGACTCCTCCGCCTTTATGTTTTTCTCCATTAGTTTTCATTAGGTAAGAAAAGAAAGATCGGCGAAAAAAACGATCACCCTCTACTAGCCGGAGGTAGTAGGTATGATATTATGAACGCTGCTCACAGAGGCTACAGGTATGGTATCAGGGCTATCTAGGCTTATCGCTTGTCGAAGGGACCTCCCCGTTGTGTTGTTGCGAGTGCGTGAAGATCCCATACGAAAGAAGATAGCGTGATTCAAGAATGGGGGTTAGAGTCTTCTTATCTCGTCAACAAGCACTACTCTTGTATTCATCTCGAACTCCAGCAAAATTATGGGGTGTGGAGGACATTACAACTTCATAGATGGTGAGCACTTGCGTCGATTGCGGCGTCGCGGGCTCTTTGGAGGCCGCCAGTTTTGTGGAATAGAGGGTTCGCGGACTAGCATAGTTGGTTTGGAATATGGCCGGTCGGACGGGGATCACAATTTAGAATGGTAGCGAAACACTACAATACTGCTCAACGGAGCTGGCGATTTAATTTATGGCTTGTGACTAGCTTGTGACCCGTGCCCTATTGCCTGTGTCCCGTGTGACCGTGTCCTCTTCCCATGCGCCACAGTAACTGCCACCTATTGCATGAAGTGATGAATTCTAAGCGAGCTTTCTAGTAGAGCTTTGTGGAGCCGTGCACATGTAGGAATCTCGAAAGAAACGGCGAGCTAGGTGTCTCAGGCCCAGTGGGTTGAGCTATGATATATTCCCCATGTTTAGCGGTAGCTACTTCAAACGAGTGATATTGTATGATTCCAATCACACAATACACATAAAATATATGAGTTGACATAGACCTTCATGTGGGCCGTGTCTCCCCGTCCGATCTACCAATGCTGCCTGCCTACAATGGAGGGTCGTAGTTTGGTGAAAAATCAGTTGATCGATAAGATAAAGAGATCTGTGAGCAAAGGTCACTCGTACTCCCTTGGCACCAACCCTTAAGTGCGACGGGATCGATAGTGTCCACATGCTGGTTTATGCTTATTATGTTAGTCTGAAACCTCAGGGCCCGGCGCTGTAAGCCATGGCCATGGCCAAGAAAAGCTTATTTGTCACCCCGCCCAGAGTCGACACATATGACATCGCCCCAGGGATATGTCTCACATTAACCGTTTCTTAGGGCTATCTGGCTTAAGGTTTACCATATTTCAACCCGGGTCTCTCTCCTCTTCCCTTTCCATCTCCTCGTTAATTACAAATATCATCATGATCATCGTCGTCACCGCTGTCTTTAATGTCAGCGCATACATATGCAGATCAACCAAGCAAGATACATCCGTAGGTCCGCCAAACCGAGCGGAAACTTTTAAAAAGGGCTCAACAGAAAAACAATCAATAGCCCTTGTTTATGACTCACTCACTACCTAGGAGACTCGCCTATTGTCCATAGAGCTGAGCGAATTAGAAGAATCGTTTCCAAGTACACAGTCATTACGAGTGATATACGATGACGCCCACACTCACATCTGCAAGTAAATTATATCCTCCTATAGTAGTTCATATGACCTTCGACCCTTCATTTATCTAATGTTTAAGCCCACATCCCCGGGCGGATAGCTAAACCGAAACAATCATCTCAATCATGCTCATGGGCCACATACACGAAACAATTCGACCTTCCCGAACCCACGTCCGGCCAAGGGGGCAATCCGCCGGTTCGGAGGCCCTTCGTACCCACGGCCTCGAATCCCGACTCACACCCTAAAAACAGGGCAATTAAAGACGCCGATCACGTGTACCACCTCCCCTTTTCACCCAACCCTGGGGAAAGGCGAAAATAATTCTCCGCAAGCCCGCCGATCACCATTTTCCAGTTGTCAGGGATAAAACTCTCCAGTAGTGCACTGGTGGTGGGGTAACTAGGGCGTTCGGGTGGCTTATCCCGAGCAAGCGAAGAAGGACTACCAGTAGCTCTTGGTACCTGGTACGGGATGGTCGGGGTATCAGTCCGAGCATGGATTGGCCCAAGCTTTGATGGGGAGGGTATTTTATCCGGGATTAGGGTATATGCCGACTCTACTTTAAACGCTGTGGGGACCCCACCAATGTGTGAGTATTTTCTAGGGCATAGCGCGCGGGTGCTAATATCAGTGAAAAAGTACGCAAGTGCAGAGTTACAATTTTTTCCGAGCCGGCCGACATTCCCCGGGTGCGGGGTGGAACTGGTGATGGTTATGCGGCGAGTGTGGGGACAAATACTGCTTCCAGTTTCCCACAGTAGCGCACGCAGCTGAGGAAAATTATAAGAACTGACAAAGCTGTTCAATACATGGAAAAATTGACAGAAAGGGCTAGGTATCCGGTGGTACGTAGGCTACGAGAGTCTAGCTAGCTGCCCGAGGTATCAAGGTGAAGGGACAATATGTATGTCTGGCGTCGACAACATGTTTAGCCTTTCATTTTCTCTATGAAAACCGGGGAGAACTCCGCATTATGGTTTCGGCCATTTAGGTTCACCCTTCATGGCAGGTGAGGGTGGGGTATTTTAGTATTTTTAAGCCACAAAATAATTGACCCGGCTTGGTTCAAGGGCTGGGGAAATAGTAGATTACTGATCGTTACCTCCTGGTGTATGTGGATATCGGTCCGTTACCAATTTAAAACCTAGAATTGCTGTACCAATTGTTGTCCCTACATCCTTGCACAACGGTATTGCATATGGGCATGGGGTTATTGCGCTATGGTGCTGGTAAGTATGGACACACGTTATTCGTTTTTTGGAATACAATTAATTACATAGATACTTACAAGCGCATGTTTGGCAGAGTTTCCGCTGAAAGTTCTATAGGTTTAGCTCAGCCAGGGGGAGAAAATGTCACTGCCACAAAACACAACTCCATGGATCCAGTCATTCCCGAATGAAATTACCTCCCCAAGTAGTACTTTGGAGAGCTAGATTGAAAATTCTCTGGAACAAAACCGGTCAATAAGATATCGATCAGATCTTCCCCATCGTTGGAATTACTGCTGATCATATTTCTCTGCAAAATTGAGATTTTACCCTCAACAGGCCCCCCGCTCCTAAAGAACGATGACGCAAACTTTATTCACAATATAAACTACCTTTCGCACATCATTTTACCGGGAAGCGGCGTGACCTGTTTTTTTACTTATATCATTAACTTTCGGCAATGCCGCCGTCGCCGCGTGCGCTGGGGTACAACCTCAGGTACTAGAGTACATACGTTTCCACCCATGGTTTAAATTCTTCGCCAATATTATGGGGATGACTTCCTGGTCGTGCATAAGGCTGTATCACCTAAACCACGAGATTATCTGGTGCATGAATATTGGTATCCAAGCTTGAACCGCCGGTTTTATTATAAGCGGGAACTGAAGATTAGTTTCCCCGAATATACCCTATCAATGTACCACTAAAGAGACTCATCCCACGCGAGAGGAAGGGGGCAGAGTTGATACTTTCGATAGAAAGTTGGAGCGCCCCAGATCTGCAGACCATTGCAGAACCAGCAGCTGGGATCGAGGCTATTATGAAAATTGATGTTATGTATGTACTCTACCTACATAATGTCTAATCATGAATTCGCTTATAATTATTAACTGACTGACTTGAAAAAGTAGAAAAGTCGATCTGTGGAGTTGATAACTGAGTAAGACAATCTCAGTCAGTACTTTGCATGCACCTGTCTACTCTGGAGCACTCATAATCACACTGCATACTCGTACTCTACATAGAGCATTTCATATTTCCCGTTAGACCGAAATAAAGATGGGTATTTTCTACCTCATGATCAGTTGTGGGTGTGTTTAGATTGGGAGAATATTAAAAGACTTACCTCAATTCAAGTATCTCTGTGCTCTATGTATGTACCCTGTCCGTAAATAGGTACTATTCTTCTGGGCTGTCTTGTGAGGCTGACGATATTCTATCAAATAAGCAAGTACAAGCACAATGTATGTAAATACCTTACCAACCAGCCGCAGTGGGATAAGTCACTAGTTGTACCAGACATGTACCTATATACTGATCATTGTCTATAATGTGATGGTATCGCCAACGCACTCGCCCCATTATGAACCTGAGGCCCTGAAACATTGAGACGAGAAGGCTATTTTTATCGCTTTGGTTTCTTTTCATTGGATGCCCCAGGCCGTAGACGCTTCAGAGAATGCGGGGTTAGGGTTCGGGAATTTAAGCTTTGGGAAACGCTGACGAGAAGGGAGATTTTAGTGTCGATCACATAATCTCATGTTCAGCCGCAAATGTGGCACACTCTAGCTCCCGCAGTCTGAGACAGATGCAAGTTAGCTTACCGATAGTACTTACACCACCTGGTCAAATTATTTGCGCATGCTCTTTACAGCATCAGGTAAAGTACAAACATCGACCCTTACTCTAAACCCTCTTCCCCGTTAACAAATTACTTCCCTGGGTGCAGACAGACAGTGCTAGTACTGATCCCGGGCCTACTGTTTCTGCGGGGAGAAATGTACTGTCGGGTAAAGAGCCAGAACCAGGCCCTATAGTCCGTTGATAGCTGGTAACTTCCGGTGGCTAAAATAGGTAGGTAT